TTTTAAAAAGTTCAATATTTCTAATTTGAGGGTTGATTAATTCTACAAGCATTAGTAAGAAATATTGGATATAAGGAAAAGGACATACATATTTACATAAATAAAAAGCATCTAATTAAGCCTTTAAATGACATTTTTTTAAAAGTGTAAGGTATAAAAGATAAAAAGGGGCTTGGCTTATTTGCATTGATTTTGGTTTTTCCCATAATTGCTGAGGATATTATGTTCATAAAAAGAGAAGCAGTGCCAACTTCAGGAGGCAGTTGCTCAGTGTCAGTCTGGGACATTGTGACCATTCTCTAGCTTACTCTAAATACACATATTTATTCTTGCAAATATGTTACTAGTTGATTGTGGATAGTTTCTTCTTAAACTGGAATCTCTGGCAGGCTCATTCCAGGAAAGGCACAAAGCACAAGGCAGTGGAAACGCACATTGCAAATGCATTGTCTGCCTAGTGGACAAGCACTGCCCTCAGCTTGCCCTCACCCAAACAGCCCTGGAGTGGACATTCCCAGGGTTGCAAAATCAAGAAAACTTACACCTTCACGAGCCTTTTTACTCCACACATGATCCATCCACCAAGGTTCATGACAAATAGCAGAGGAAGTTAAAATTATGTTTCTAATCATTTTTCCTATGCTCTGAAAAGTTTGATGAAACGTGTAGGTTGTTATGTAAGATTTGCTAAGCACCTTATTACCCTACAGAACATCGTAAAAAGTGCTCTAGGGAGAATTTTTTTATAGAAAGACCTTTCCTTTACAATGCCTCCAATGCATTTTGTTTACTGAGTATGCCATGTCTACAGAAAAATGTAATTAGGGAGAATGATGTTATATATATATATATATATAAAATCCAGTTTATATATAAGTTTATCTCAAGGTCTGTATCTCCATCAGAGGTACTTACTCTGTTTTCTATAAAGTAGAATGTGTTTGCATGCTTGTTTGACTTAGGACTAGGGGCCTTCAGTGAAATTGACCTGACTCACAATTCTAGCTAGCTCTGAGGACTTGGAAAGCACACTGTCTTCTTTATAGCTTTTCTCCTCACCAGTGAAATTCACTGTATGTTTTATCATTTTTGTAGCATAAGCCTTAATTCCTCAGCCTGGCTTGCATGCATTTCAAGACCAACCTGAGTGAAATTGTTTCAGATTTCAGGATGTGTTTAGTATTGATGGAAAATTGTCTACATTCTATATTCATTTTTGCACTATTAGAACTAAAATGTCTTAATATTGAGGTAACATGGGATTTCTAAAATGAGTTCACTCATTGGGCTATTTGTTTTGGTCAAAATAAAACCGTTAAACATAAACTAAGAAAACCTGTGAGCAACTTTCCTCTATTATTTCCTTGGTCAGATTCTGTTTTCTTTGTTTTCTTAATTTGGGCTGAGCCTTCGAGAAGAAAAAATAGTAATCACCACTTTTTCAGTGTGCACTCTGGAATTTCTTTAGCAAAGAGTCAGGTCACAGCAGCCAGAACCCATGCTTTTTCTGCTGAGGAATTATATTTCCTTGAGTATATACTGAGCTATGTGAACAAATCATTAGGTGACACAAGTGAACAGGAAAACATAAGTATTCAAAAATTCTGTGACCTCTGCTACAGGGGTGGCTGGCAGAAGACACTGGCTTTAATTGTGTGTTTCCCTCTTGCCAGTGTTTTTCAATAAAGCATTCCATGATCTTGAAGCAAAAGGTGATTGAGAAGGCAATATTTTTATTCTAATGATATATCAGATTTTCTTTATTCAGAATAATCTGAAATATTTTCTTAGGTATAGTCAAGTAGTACTTGGATATAGATTATTCCATGAAGCAGGAAAAGCCATAGTAATTAGTACTGTGTGAGAAGTGGAATTGGAACACAAACTTGCAGATTTTTTGCTTTTCTTCTGTTCTTGTTTATTTATTTATTTATTTATTTATTTAATGAGACAGAGTCTTGCTCTGTCACCCAGGCTGGAGTGCAATGGCACCATCTTGGCTCACTGCAACCGCCATCTTCCAGGTTCAAGTGATTCTCCTACCTCAGCTTCCCGAGTAGCTGGGACTACAGGTGCGTGCCACCACACCCAGCTAATTCTGTTCTTGGTATTTTTAAAAAAAATATGTAATTATATTCATTACCAGTGGAGAAATGAATGGGCTTAAATAGCTTTACTCGTTTATTTTGTTTATAGTTTTGTTCCATAACAAGAAAATAAAATAGAAAACAGCTGTGTGAAATTTTGTTTCTTTGTATTAGCATTGTGTGTGTGTGTGTGTGTGTCTGTGTGTGTATTCTTCACCCTGTAGAAACGCATTAATAGCACATTCTGGGTTTTGTCTACTTTTATTCTTTTTTAAGTGACATCCGGTGTTGTGTATTTATGTTTTAAACTAAGCAAATCTATTTGCTTTGGAATGGACACCCACAGCAGCTATGGAGATTCATAATGTAACATAAGCTAAAATATTCAGCAAATAGTGTCAGATGTACCTTAAAGCCAGTCTCCATCACATGTTACTATCAATAAGAACTGTAGAAATCCCTGTTCTTAGTACAGTGATATGTATATTTTAAAATTGAAAACAAAAAGCTGAATCCTAGCTGTGGGAAAGGAACCCTGAGTCTGTGGGCTTTGCGGCTTTTCAGATCTTGAGATTTGTGTAAAGTATCACTACATCTTCCAAACTCTGCTTATTGTCTCTGTGTATTCAGTGTGGTTTGCCCCTAGTTTCTGACTGTTGCCTTTTTACATATGGAATGTACCCCAGTTTTTGCTTACACTAGCAGAAGAGCACTCTGTTTATTGAAAACTATAGACGTAAATCCTTAGTGATGAAACCAAGACAGGAAAAAAGAATTCTAGCTTCAATTTTTTTAAGTTTAATAATTTATTGTGTTAAGTTAGGACAACACAGAGCTATTGCTTAGCAACACTGGATTAGGGGGAAAATAATTTAAGCTCCCAAATGAGAAACACTTGTAATCGAATATGCTCTAACACTTGCTTTACCACATGGCTTAACACCCTTCTCCTCACACATGGTTAAACACGTGTTTGAACTAATGTTTTAACACCCGTCTCACACATCTTTATGCTCTTTGTTCATATATGCTGAAACACATGCTTTGACACCTTTTGTGCACTCGTTGTCGAACACAGGCAGAGTATTGTCTAGTGTCTGGCTTTCCAGAGGTTCATTGGTGAGTAGCATTCCTTCTAAGATTGGTGCCTAATAAAGTCACAGCTCCTTCTGCTAAATGATGTCCACACTTGTGTTCCGTCAGTCCACCGGAGAAGGTAATCCTCACGGAGATGACCACAGCTGTGGTCCTCTGTGGCTACCACACCCCTGATTAGTGGCCTGTTCAAGTATTCCAGCGTTCCAGCAGATGGGCGTGTCATGTCACAAAGCATTGTTTTCCACCCGGGCCAATCCGCTTGTGTTTTCCCAAACTGCCAAGCTCTAAAATCTTAACTCATGACAAGATGCAGAGTTGAAGTGATTTCATATTCTCTTTCATCTTACTTGGTGATTTCAGCCTAGATGGCAGGCAGTTTCCATCACTTTAGGCAAAGTCACTATCTCCTCCTCACTCTGCCTAGACCTGTCAATGGTAGTGTCTTAGTTCAGACTGCTACAACAGAATTCCATAGACTGGGTGGTTTAAACAAGGCACATTTGTTTCTCACAGTTCTGGTAGTTGGGAAATCCAAGGTCGAGGTGCTGGCAGATGTGCTGTCTTGGGAGGACCCATTTCCTGGTTTGTAGATGGTTGTTCTCATTGTATCCGCACATGGAGGAGAGCTGAGAAAAACAATAGTTCTTAATTCAAGTTAGAATTAAATGGTGACATTAGCCTAAATTTAAACAGTGGTTTATAGTTTATAAAATGTGTTTTATCCATCTTTTTGGATCCCTGTCAAAACACTGGGAGGTAAAACATTATCCCCATCTTACAGATAGACATGCTAAGACCCAGGTAGCCTAAGAACGCTGCCAAAAATTGCATAGCTAATAGATAGTGAGATTGGATGCTACTGGTCCCTTGATATCTAAGTCACTGTTTTCCTCTTTCCCAAAGTTAAGTACTATAAGATGGACAAGAAAGTCCAGAAATAAGCCCTTTCCATCAAAGAGCTTATAGAAAAGGAAAAGATACCCACAAATGAAAAATAACTCCCATCTGTTGAGTACTATGAACTAGTCCTCTACTAGGCACTTTATAATGAATCATCTTTCTTGATCTTGACAGGTGAGGAAACTAAGGCCTAAAATGCAATGATAAATGTACTGAGTCAAATAACTAATAAAGTAGCAGAGCTAGAATTTGAATGCAAGCCTGGTTCTGAATAAAACCCATACCTTTGGCCATTACTCATATTGGCTTCTAACCAACAATAATAAATGAGTTCATACACAAACTGTAGCAATTGTATAAGTCAAGTTTGGATGAAGTATGTTCTTCCCCTCATCATTCCTGCCTATAGTACTTTATGATTGATTTTTTAAAAATGTTTAACATTATAAAGTGGATACACATAACAAGAGGTAAAAGCTACAGATATTCTATGAAAGAATTTGTAAAGTAAGTCCAAATTTAGTCTGTTCCACCACTTTGGTTAAATCCATGGTCATAAAATGTGCTACACAGGTTGCATCTTCATGGAAATTTGATTTTACTGGTAGCTTGTGCTCACGATGATCAGAAGAGAAGCATCATTTCTATTCTGTGGGTTTTAGGTTGCAAAGAGTGTTAATGGATGCTAAATTAAATTATTTGAAAATAAATTGTATCTCATTGACTGGACCCTAAAGGGTCATTATTGAGCAAACTATATAATGAATAATACCCTTGAGTTTGGTGAGTCTCACTGGCATTTTTCATAATTGTATGTTAATAACTCCAGCTATTTTTGTAGCTGGCTTTAAAGATAATTTAAAGGTGACTGAAAACCTTGAACTAACTTTCCATATTAAATTGGTTTGGACCCAGATGCAGAAACCAACAACTAGACCATTTAAACACAGAACAAGATCAGCCAGGAATAGCAACACGTGGATGCCTGACTTGTGAATGTGAGTAGGAATTAGTGATTACTTCGAATAGCTGGAAGATCCCAGAGGAACATTTTGGGGGCTCTTCATTCTGTTTTGTCCTCGAAACAGAATTGCTCATACAAATATCTGGCAGCATCCAAACACAGGTGCAGGTTTGGAATGTATAAAGCCTCATGTTGGTTTCTTTGTATTTTAACTGAATTTCACTATGTTGAGGCTCAAGATCAAATGATTATATTTTAATGTGGTATTTGCCAAATTTCCAAACCTCTAAGCACAAAATCCTCAGCCTTCATTTCTTCGTTTGCCTGGAAATCTAGGTAGCACTGAGCCAAAAGCAGAAGTTATGAAGTGAGATTATACTTGATTAGGAACAAAAAAAAGTCCTATGTTCAGAAATGCAGATGTGCACAGCAGTCCTGGGGGAATGTTGGTATTTGATCTCTAAGTCTTAAAGGTTCATGTTCCCAAGGTTAAGAAATGCAGAGAGCCAACTTTTATTAGTAACTAATGCTGAAATTACTCTGGAGATTCTAGAAGTATTACATTACAAATCACTCAGCTTTAAAAATCCTACATCTAGTGAGTTACAAATGTCACTGCATGAGAGAAAGGGGCAGTAAGTGAAGGGCGTCATTCATAAACTTAATTTCTACTCTTGCAGCATGATCATGAGTATACTGTGTGAGAGTTTTCATTTCAGTGAGAAAGAAAAAAGGAGCATATGAAGTCCATGAGTCAGGACTCCAACTGAAAGAACCAGGAAGCAAAGGCCTCCTCATGTAGATGGACTTTGGGTAGAGTTGTGGGGTACAGCAGGCCAACCTGGGCTGCAATATCTTCCTCCTTTTCTAATATTATCTAACTTTGTGACGTGGGCCGAGTTGCTTGTTTATTGAGCAAGCCTTCCATTTTGGTGAAAACTAAAGCCTGGGTATTCATAAAATAATATTCTACAACAAGCATGGCACCTGTAGCCATCTGTGAAAAAGATACAGATAGCAGACATTTCACTTCAAGGGGAGAACCTTAATAGCACCAAATTCATCATTAAAACCAGGATAAGTTGAAAGCATTACTATGTCACATAGTGACTGGTTTTTTTTGTTTGTTTGCTTGTTTGTTTATTTGTTTTCAGATAAAATCTCACTCTGTTGCCCAGGCTGGAGTGCAGTGGCATGATCTCAGCTCACTGCAATCTCCACCTCCCAGGTTCAAGCAATTCTTGTGCCTTAGCCTCCCAAGTAGCTGGGATTACAGGTGTGTGCCACCATGCCCAGCTAATTTGTTTTTTATTTTCTTGAATAGAGTCTCACTCTGTCACCCAGCTTGGAGTGCAGTGTTGTGATCTGGGCTCATTGCAATCTCTGCCTGTGGGTTCAACTGATTCTCATGCCTCAGTCTCCAGAGTAGCTGAGATTATGGGTGCATGCCACCATGCCCAGTTAATTTTTGTATTTTTGTTAGAGATGGGCTTTTACCATGTTGGCCAGGCTGGTCTTGAACTCCTGGGCTCAAGGGATCTACCCACCTTGGCGTCCCAAAGTGCTGGGATTACAGGCATGACCCACCGCACCTAGCTATGCCCTATTTTTAACCTTCATAAATTGTATTACTTTAGTAGGTACCTGGGTACTCTCTAGTATTAACTAATTGGGCCTCCTTTTTCGGCTAGACCCTTCTTATTTTAAACTCAGTAGTGATCTGATTTTTTTTTTAATCAGTGACAACTTGAATTCCAACAACAAAGCAAAGGTAGATAAGTCCGCCTAAAGGCAAAATTACATCTTTTACACTTTTCACCAATAATGTCTACTACTAGATATGTTCGTCTTCATTGTGAGGTTGACTTGCCCTTGGTATGAGTTGATAAGTGTTTTCTTTATAAATGAAATCTATTTAAGTCATTACACTTTGGGAAGAGTTTTTAAACTGATCAGAAATACATGATCTTAAAAATATTGCTAAAATTTGGAATATGATCCATAATATATATAATTAATGTACAGTATATAATTGTAAATGTGTATTTTAAGTAGACAATATATAAGCAAAATATAGGAAAATGAAACATTACATATATATTATTTATATCACACCAATAAATTCATATTCAGGTTGTAACATCTGAACAATTGCTGCTTCACTCATCCTCAGTGATGCTATTTTTCAGATCTCAGATTTTGATAGATGTACTGTGGAGTGTAGAAATAATCATTATTTAGGTAGCTAAAAAATAGCTTGCCAAAACTAATAATGAAAGTTATTCAAGATGTTCTGTCAAAATCCATTCCAATTAGTGTTGAGGTCTTGAAGGGCCAGGCTTAGCTTTTTATTAATATGTTAGGTTTATTAATGTATTTTTTGATATATGCATAGTGTGACTGTCTAATACATCTCATGATATTGCAGAATTACAGTATTTGGTACTTTTAATTTGTTATATACCAGTCTTTTCTTCAGTCTTATTTAAACTTCAAAATTACTTCATAGTTTCATAAGTAATAACTCATTAGGAAGCTGTGCCATGTACTTGAGGTTACCTCTAAGGCAATTCATATTTAACAGTAAACCAGAGAAATTCCTGACTACTTGACTGTCATTGACCAGTTTAAATATTTAAAGTCTTTGTCTGACCCTTTGTCTAACCAATTACAGAAAATGAAACAAAGGTTGTGTACAAAATGGGAGAAAGAGAAGTCCTTTCAAATAGTCTTTTCTAAATGAAGAAAACTAGTTGTGCCGTGAGTAACCAAATTCTTAGATAATAAGTATATACCACCCCACAGGGACAATATGTTATTTTTAAAATAAAGGGGTTATTTTTCTTTTTCTTTTTGCTTGCTACTTTTCACCAAGACATAGGCATTTTAGCATGTCATTCTACAGTGGTCAAATTCAGATTATTTGTTAATAATAATAATAATTTTACATTCTTATCTTTTCAATCATATCTTAAAAGATAGCTTTTGACTAGTTTTTGTCTTCTCCAAAAGATGAGAAATTGAGACTGTTTTTAATGCCTTGCTTTACTCAGATAAGTGAACATGGCTAGAAATTACAGTGGTTCAACCACTTGTTTATTGCGATAGTTGTTATGTACATTATTTAGATCTTGTGACACACTCTAATCTGTAGTTGAATGATGTTAAAATTGTATCAGCATAATGCCATGGCTATAGCAGTATGATTTAGCTGACAGCCAATCTGTATGATAAAAATGATGCTAGGTTTAATAGGGACACAAAGATGGTGGCGTTATGAATACCTCTTATGAGGTAATGAGATAATTAGGTTCTATTTGATTTTATTTTTAATTTATTTATTTTTCAGAGGCAGGATCTCGCACTGTCGACCCAGGCTGGGTGCAATGGCATAATCATAGCTCACTGCAACCTTCAATTCCTGGACTCAAACCATCCTCCCACCTCAGCCTCCCAAGTAGGTAAAAACTACAGTACTGCAGGTACATGGCACCATACCTGGCTAATGTTTAATTTTTTTTTTTTTAGAGACAGGATTTTGCTATGTTGCATAGGCTCGTCTGAACGCCTGTCCTTAAGCAATCCTCCTGCCTCAGCCTCTCAAAGTACCTGATTACAGTCATAAGTCACTGTGCCCAGCACCTCTATTTTAGAATTTGAATTGGTCAGCGTTCTTAGATCCAGAGGGATAGAATCAGTAGCTAATTTAAGCAGAAAGAAATTCAATAGAATAGCTTACAGACTCTTTGAGAAGGCCAGTGAAGCTCTTTTAGGTGCTACACAGCCATAAATTTCAGCAACAGAAGAGGCCAGTCAGACTGTTCTGGGAGGTCTCACTGCCTCACTTTTATCCCACAGGGCATCCATGATACTTCTCTACTGACTCCATTATTAGCCAGAGCGGTCCCAGAAGAACCAAAGGCAAGCCCCTCTTCTCCCTCTACCCATACCCCTTCAAACACGCATTTATGGGAAGTGCGCCCATCTCTTTCCTTGTGGCTGCCTCGCACTGCTCACATCCACTTTTTAAGTTTTACCCAGGCTCCTCCAGGACCTTGGCCACATCCAGAACCTGGTAGCAAGAGACTTTTGGAAATGTCCTTCTTAGCTTTCCAGGCTTGCTGCAAACAAGAATCAGAATCTGCGTGGAGTGAGTCAAATGCATACTACCCCCAGGAATGCATAAAGGAGGGATTCTCAAATTTTATTCTAAGGAACTTAGCATTTTGCCCACCCTCCTGAAGGTCACCAAAGAGGAAGAAAGGGTGAGAAAAACAAGACTTCATCTAGAACAGTTAGTTCCATGTTAATTTGGTCATCTGTTGGGCACATCTATAATCATCATTTGAAAACAAAATGTTTTCTCTTGTTGTTGTGGTTTTTGTTGTTTGTTTCAGCACCACCTCGAATCTGCAGTTACTTTCATCACTCTTTATCCACTACTTGTGTGTTAGGTGGACTGTCGCAAATGTAGCCTAGGATTCCTTTCCATAGCAAACCTTTCAATGGAACACCATCAGTTTCTTCGCCAATACTTGAAGATGACTACAAATCATATGTCTCTCTCACGTCCTCAGAGAAAAGTGCTGCTAACGGCCCCATTCATTTTAGGGTTTTTAATGTGAAGTCACCACCTCCTGAGAACATGTCTTTTAGTTGTTTCAAAGCCTTTCCAACATCTTCTGAGAAAACCTCAGCAGTGGAGGGCAACCCAGTCATCATAGCCATAGGAATAAAGGGAGTGGACACGTTTAATTACTCTTCAGCTACTTTATTTCATTTGACTTCAAAAACAAAATTAGCGGTAGCAGAAGGCAGTGGTTGCATGGGGTTAAGCTAATCAATGTGTGCTAATTAAATAACTGTTGTGCCTATGCCATTAATGCCTGTTTCAGATGGTAGAGAGCTCTTAGTCTTACCTACTTCGGTCTCTGTACTCTCAATATGTTGCCATACAGACTAGATTAAAGGGATATAATCTCTAAATTAAGTAGGAAGAGACAGAGCTATTACCTGCATGCATATTGGTCCTTGTAAAAAGATTGTTGTCGGGAGCTTTTCTCTTACGGTCTCTAGAGCATCTCCTTCCTTAGCACATGTGGCCTTCCGCACTCTGAACCATAACGGCTTTCAACTTACATGCACTCAAGAAACCTGCACTTCTGCTACCAATCCGCTACTTCTTTGTCTTTCATGTGTTTTCAGGATGCCCTGACCTCACCCCTCCCTGTCATGCAACATCAAAACACAGACATGCTTTGTCACCCCAGAAACAGACCAGCAGCCCAACAGTTCTTTAAAGCAGCAGATGCTTTTTAATTCACGCACCATGTTTATCATGTTGCTCCCAGTTGCTTAAATCACCTTCAGAGTATTTCATTTTTGTTTTTGTTAACACAAAAAAAGCAGTGAGTTTGAACTCCTTGTAATTTTAACCAATAAAACCTAAACGTTTAAAAACTATTACTTTCATATTTATTATTGAATATTTTGAAAATTCAGAAAGAGGTAAAGAAAAAACCAAAACTCCCTTTAAGCCTTAACCTCCATTGAACCCTTGGGGTTTTATTAGGGGTGGGGTTGTTTTTGTTTTCTTGAAACAGGGACTCATTTTGTCACCTAGGTTGGAGTGACAGAGTACAGAGGCATGATCATGGTTCATTGCAGCCTCAACCTCCCTGGGATCAGGTGATCCTCCCATCTCAGCCTCCCAAGTAGCTGAAATGACAGGCATGCACCACCGTGCCAGGCTGATTTTTATATTTTTTGTAAAGATGGGGTTTTGCCATGTTGCCCCATCCATATTGTTCTTGGACTGCTGGGCTGAAAGCATCCACCCGCCTTGGCCTCTCAAAGTGTTGGGATTCCAGGCATAAGCCACTTTGCCCAGCTATTGAACTATTGTTAAAAACTTTGTGTATATTTCCCCCCTTTTATGCATATTTCTCATACAAATAATTGAATGTTTTATTGGCATTTATGTTTTCAAAACCTTTCTGTGATTTGCTGTCACTTTGAATAAAAATTTTAAAGTTATTGTCCTAAATTTCAAGATGATGTATTTTAACATAAAGAATATTAGAATCTGCCGGAATTATTTATCTGAGATTGGCTGTAAGCTATAAAAGTCTGTTTGGTTCATGTAATTGCCTTTTCATTTTTTTTGCTACCCTCAGCTGTAAAACACCAAACCAAAATTAGCAGCTGCAGTCCTGGTTGCACTTATTAAACATTTAGCCAATTTTTTCACCCCTGTTCCTTGTGAAGTTTATTTAGGTAAAAGGTTGATAACATTCTCTACCAGCAAAGGAAGCAGGGTTTTCTTTCTTTTCTGTTAGACGGTTCTATTCTGATAACATTGCAGAAGTTAAACACGAGGACTCATTTCTTCCCACTGGTATCAGTGTCCTCCACTGTGCTAGCCAGGTGTATAAAGTATGTAATTTCACATGCAAAATAGAGTAATTGTGTGGTATGTCTATAAGCATGTATATTACCATAGGTTTGTTGAAATACAAAATAATTCTGAAATGTTTGCATTTTGGAAAAGACTGGGCCTCCACCAGGCACTGTTGTGCAATATCCATTGTTTATGCATGGGCATATTTATATAAACGGAGTTACAGGTCTGTGTAAACAAGTTACATTGATTACAAGAGCTAATATAAGCTTAGGAATGTTTGTGTTAATACTTCAGTTTTTTCAAGTAAGGTCCTATGTATTTCTTACATAGAAGACTGTTTCCTAAAAGTGGTAAAAATGAAAATACTCATCTCTAATGTTTTCTACTGTGCCAACTACATCTTTGACAAGATTCTTTTAGTTATTCTTCTTATTAGAGATATTTGTAAAGGAATGTGTTAGCATTAAGCAGTATCTTTGACAGAAGCAAGTCACCAGCTATTCGAAATAAGAACTGAAGAAACTTTGGATGGCATGAAATATTTCAAATATTTCGCCATTCAGCAGTCTCACTCATGATGGCCAAATACACCAATAAATGCTGCTTGTATTTCTTTCTTTATTTATTTTTTCTTTTAGATGGAGTCTTGCTCTTGTCACCCAGGCTAGAGTACAATGGAGCAATCTTGGCTCACTGCAATTTCCGCCTCCCAGGTTCAAGCAATTTTCCTACCTCGGCCTCCTGAGTATCTGGTATTTCAGATACGTGCCACCATGTGCAGTTAATTTTTGTATTTTTAGTAGAGACAGGTTGCACTATGTTGGCCAGGCTGGTCTCAAACTCTTGACCTCGTGATCCGCCCACCTCAGCCTCCCAAAGTGCTGGGATTACAGGCTTGAGCCACTCATATTTCTATAAGAATGGGATTATGTTGTACATGCATCCATTTTGTGTAAACTTTCCCACTTAGCCATTTGATGCAAACATTTCCCCTTGACAGTAAATAGTCTCCTAAAAAGATCTTTAATAGTTACACCTTCTGTCTCCTGAGGGCGCAAAGAGCCTTTCTTGGTTTCTGGGTGGAAATCCGTAGCTGGCATGTTTCTACCATCCCCACAGTTGCCAGTAGTTTTCGAATCCATGGGCTTGCTGGCCCTCCAGCATCTATTGTCAGTTTTCTTAGGGCTTATCCCGGGAGGGACATATGTCCCTTTCCTCACCTCCGTCTCTTCTTGATTAGACCTCCTTCCGCCAGCGTATGTTCTCCTTCATCTCACTCACCATCCTCCTCTTTAAATCTCTGATTAGTCTCTGCCTTCATTTCACTTTAGTCACTGTTTCTTTCCAGGAATTGGTTCTCTTTTTTTGTGTCCCTTCTTTAAGAGTGTCTGGTTGCTTTGCTGACAGACACCTCAGAAAAGGGACAGAAAGTTGGAGCCCTGTATTTTCATAAATAAAGAGTACATAGTGAGGATTTTTGACCCCTAGTTCCCTAAGAGTGTCTGTCTTCAGACAGAACTGCCCCCCTGGTGCTTTGGGCAGGCCTGGGCCTCTGCTGACCCTCAGCCCTCTCTGTAGTGCACTCTAGCTCCCTTCCCAGCCACCCTCCCCTCGCTTGACCTGCACCCCCGCCAGCTGGGACTGCTCCCTGTCTGCCAGGCTTGCCTCTTGCTCTTTTCTTAATTGTGCCATTCCTCCTATCTGGACATTTACCTTCTCCTCTTTCCCATGAAAATCCTGCCCATCTTTCAGTTCCATGTCTTCATGCTACATGCTCAAAGAAAGCAGAGATCACATTTTTCAGATCTCCCCACCAAGAGGAACTCTGTTTATTCATTTGTTTGTTTGTTTGTTTTGACACAGAGTCTCGCTCTGTCGCCCAGGCTGGAGTACAGTGGTGCAGTCTCGGCTCACTGCAACCTCTGCCTCCTGGGTTCAAGCAATTCTCGTGCCTCATCCTCCCAAGTATGTAGGACTACAGGTGGGCACCATCACACCTGGCTAATTCTTTGTATTTTAGTAGAGACAGCGTTTCAACCACGTTGCCCAGGCTAGTCTCGAACTCCTGAGCTCATGCACTCCACCTGCCTCGGCCTCCCAAAGTGCTCTGTGTTGTTTTGATTATACTTCTCATGTTGGACAGATCTGGTATGCCTTGTTTTAGCTGTTTCTGTGCCTGTCTCTTTCCCCTTACTATGTGGTTAGCCTAGAGAACAAGGATTATAGCTCTCATATTTGAAACTGAAAGCACTCAGCACAGTTGCATTCACATGGAAGGTGCTTGGTAAATATTGACCCATGAGGATTTTTAAACCTCTGATTTGAATACATTGGTTGTTCTTCAGTTAATGTCTTTTTTTTTTTTTTTTTGAGTTGGAGTCTTGCTCTATCACCCAGTGCAGTGCAGTGGCATGATCTTAGCTCACTGCAACATCTACCTCCTGGGTTCAAGTGATTCTCCTGCCTCAGCCTCCCAAGTAGCTGGGATTACAAACATATGCCGCCATGCGCAGCTGACTTTTCTATTTTTAGTAGAAATGGGATTTTGCCATGTTGGTTAGGCTGGTCTCAAACTTCTAATCTCAAGTGGTCTGCCCATCTTGGCCTCCCAAAGTGCTTGTATTACAGGTATGAGCCACCATGCCTGGCCCAGTTAATGTCTCTAAATTTCATTCACTTAGTGCTACTGCAGAATAATTACAGAAATTGTGCTTGGTTTATATAAAAGCATGGAGTGACCTAACTTGGTTATATTTTTTAAGCAATGTCCAAAGAGAGGCCACTTCCAAGTTGGGGTTTGTTCTGAGCTCATGCTTTGCCTAATTTTTTCCCAGATCAGTAGCATAACTTACCTAGTAGAGTCTTGAGTTATCTGCCTTAGCTCTGAAGAGTCTTCCTCAGCCTTGTTAGTCAGTCTGCATTGTTGTTCGTGTGTGTGTGGTGTGTGTGTGTGCGTGCGCGTGTGTGTGCATGAGAACCTTCACTTTTAGAATAATATTGCATTGCAAATCAAATTCTGCCTCAAAAGAGCTGTTCTTCCACAATTTTCTGCATTTCTGTACAGGTTACAAAATGTCACAATTCAGTAGGGCCAATTATTAGATTTTCATTTAATGGGCAGTTTTAATGTTCTCAGAGAATCTGAATTGTAATAGCATTTTAAACTACTGCATTCCATTTAAAGACTCACAACCAGTTCTCTCTTTGAGCACACCTAGTTATATTTTTGGGTATCATTTAAATTCAGGCTCCGTAGAAAAAAATCAATGACTTAATGAATAGCTTCATTTTGAAAACTTTTGAAATATTTTATCCTAATTATAAGGCCTATCTAGTGACATTAATTTGGTGAAATCCCAAATCGTCAGATTGTACAGAATAGCCCTTGCCAAGGGAGCAATTTAGAGCATTTTCAGTTTAACAAATACCCTGTTTTTAGGACCAGATCATGGCTTTGCTTACTCTGAGAAAAACTTTCTACTGTTAAGGTGTAGGGGCCATGTCAGGGTAGGTCAAACTTCATGTTTTTTATTCACAGTTGTGTTTGTTTAGTGTGTTTTATTTAGCCTATTAAATGAAAAGCATTTCTACTACTAATAATCACCCCTGACATTTGTGTAGCAAATTCTTATTGGTAGATCACTCCCACATGCGCTGTGCCCAGGTCTGGTGAGCTTCACGCCATACTCCCTGGCCACACAATGAGCAATTGGTAAAGTCAGCCCTGGAATCAGAGCTGGCCAAGTCAAGACCAGTGACTTTGCACACACGGTTGGTGTTTGTTCATGTAAGTCAACCACCCTGAATCTTTTGGGGAACAAGATGGAGAATAAGCCAACAAAGTGATTGCTTTGGAGTCATTTATTTTCTGCTCTGTGGTCCATAGCTTATCGACTCTGTCCTCCGGGACAGCAATGGAAAATCAACCCTGTAACCAGATCGAGGCTACAGTTTGTGAGAAACCCACAAGGCAGCCATCATCTCAGTCTTTTGCAGAGTGTGGTTCCCTGTGTGTGGTTTCTATTTTAGTAATCTTTGGCCTGCTTTATCTTCATCTATTCTCTGTCCATTCTCCAGCTGAAGACACCTGACACATTGATGGTCTCAGGGAACTACGGTCATACCACCCTGAACATGCCCAGTCTCTTCTGCTAGTCTCAGGAAAGTCAAAATCATTTATAAGCAGTATTTGATGACTCTTCATGGCTGCCCAGTAAAAGGAGCCTCAGGACCCTTCCTACTCCTTCAGTGTTTGCATGAGTGACCCAATTAGTAATAGAACCTAGTTCTCCTCGTTCCTAGTCTGCTTTTCTGGTCATGACCTGTACGCGGCTCCATCTTCTGCAGATATATCCTGCCTGGATGTCTTCATTCTTCTCACCCTCCCTCCCAGCCAGAAAGTTGTAGGTGTCACATTTGCAGGGCTGGCCACAGAGTAACCTAAAAGGTACTCTTGCAGATCTCTTTTTATTGGACCAGGACAGAAGGAAGTTGGAGTCCTCACATGTATTTTTAGTAAAAACTCATGACTGTGGAGTTATGAAAAGCAAAATCTCCCTGGAAATGCTCATCTTCCTAATGATTTTTTTTTCTGCTAGGCCCACAGTCGAACTCAATAACTCTATGTGGTCTAAATGATTTAATATGGCTAAGTGAGATCAACTATCATATCACACACACACATGCATGCAAGCATACACACACACACACACACACACACACACACACATGAAATGATATAAGTCTAGTTAAATGTTTACTCCAGAGGGGGAAGAAAGGTAAAAGGGTAAAATACATGTAGAGGGGCAGGGGTGTGAGACTAAGAGAGGCATTTCCCTTTCTAAAGGAGCTTTGCTCACTTGCAACACAAGCCCTGTTAAGAAACAGTGTGCATTAGGACCCACTTGCCCACCCTGATTTTCCACTCACACTTTGCTTCCCACTGCCGCATTCTCCAAGCACGTGAACTGATTTGTTTCTGTGCAGGTTCAAGGGATTTTGGTTCCATAACATCTCATTGTGCTAAATGCAGATTTAATGGCTTTAGACTGTCAGGATGTGCTCTCCCGTTGCTGTTTTTAAATTTGGGGTGGCAGATATTGAAAACCTGTAAAACTGAATAGACCAAAAGCTGCTGCAAATGTGGGGAGGCCTCAGAATGCTGGGGACATACTCCACTGACATCCTGTCTCTCCATTCCGGTTGGATCTCCAGTTCCTGGTCCAGGACCCCTGTCCTAGCTTTAGGGATTTCCTTTCTGTGTTTCTGTGGCCATCACGACTGCCTGGAATGGTCCCCACTGCCCATTGCATTCTAAACCCCTCAGATTTGAGATGGATCCATGGTCCGTATGAAAGACCCCTCCCTGTTTAGTTTTTCTTCTCTTTATGACCACCGTGCTGCATGCACCAGCCCAGTGGAGGACTAGAATTCTCCTACAGAACTGTTGGTTATTACTTAACCCTGTTAGTAATTTGGAATCCAGGGTTTTTCTTCTCAGTTTCAAAACTGAAGAACCTTGCATATGACTTCTTCACCATTATTGTCAAGATTACTGTCATCATCTTAATTGCCATTTATTTTAAAAGTACTTAAACACTAACTGCTATATAAACATTATGTCATTTAGTTTCGTTTAACTCTCAGAGCAAACCTATAAGGGAGGCATTATTATTTTCTTTTACAGATGAGGAAACTGAGGCTTATAAAAGTTCAGTAATTTGCTCGAACTCACACAACTCTCAAGTATGGGAGACAGGATTGCATCAGATCCAGTCTATCAGCCTCAAGAGTATAGATCTCCTTGTCTGACACCTGACACCAGCTGGGTTCTCACCATGCAGTCAGCCTCCAAGAATATAAGTAACTATACGTAGGCAAAGAAAAAAAAATCTGTTTAGAATCATACTATGCCTTTATCAATATATTTCATTTAAGTTATCATTCAGTTAATAACTTAGGAATCAACTTTTTAAGGAAAATTGTAAGAAGCATATTTACCAGGTCCTCTTACCATAAATAGAGAGCAACTGCTGCTCTGGTCCTGAACAACTCGTGTATTTAAGCCAAGGTTGGCATAGGAAATAATTTTCTTATGGCACCTGGAGATACTACACTAGACCATAGACAAGATAGCAAAAGAGGTCTTTGGTGCTCCCCATGTATTTTGGCACGCAGCCACCCTTCTCCTTCCCAACATTTTGGTCACCTTTTGGCATTCTAAGTCTCCCTGCTGTAACCCCATCCAGGCCATTCATTCTCTCAGGAACACATTCCCCATTGAAAACTCTTAGCCCTTGAGAGACACTACTGCTACTAAGAAACCAGTCTGAGGACAGTACATCATGCTAAGACTTAATCCTGGGGCACAACTGAGCTTTATAAGAAGAGTGGAGATGGGGAAATGTGACATTACTAACTCTCTGAATGCTTTGCCTCTGCTTACACAACAGTCCGCTGTTTTCCATGTTCTGTTGGATCCCAGATAAGCCCCTCATCACTTGATGCCTTTCCCCTGCTTTATTTCTTTTCATCACATATATCAATACCCGGAATCATATTATAAACTTGTTGGTTTATCATCATTACCCCCTGCAGAATGGAAGCTTCATGAGAGCAGGAAATTTGCTTTCCTTGCTGCTATAAACCCAGCATCTGCAAGAGGAGTTGGCATATACTAGGGGCTTAATAAATATTAATCAAGTGAAAGGATCAACCTCTTGTCACGCCTCTTCTGAGCTGGGTAGTTTTCCTTTAACTCAGTTGTTTGATCCCCAAAATAACACATTTAAGTAGTCATCACACCTATGATTTTACTGATATATATGGTTGTTTGGGATGAGCTGATTTTTTTTCTTTAAAGGGCAAATTTAAAGTTGGCATGAAGAAAACAGTTAAGTAAATACTTACTCAGATGGGAGTCCAGGCAGAGAAGGATCAGGAAAATGGTATCTGGGTGTCTGGAAAGTGCTATTCGATCAAAAAACACTGAAAATCCACCATTACATTAGCAAATAACATTCAAGTAGGTAAAAAATTGCCCCACATAACTCATCTTGAAATAATTATGAGCCAACCTTTTTAGTCTTCCATGATGTGCCCTGTGTTCATGGTTCTCTCAGCATTGTAAGTTATATGCATAAAATTCAAACCAAAACTTACCCAACACATTTGAGCCCAAATATTTCCTCTTAAGTTGCACCCATAACTTGGAAGTCAAGGTCAAAACACAGGCTTATGTTTTCTTATGGTAATTTTTTTTTTTTTTGAGACAGAGTCTTGCTCTGTCACCAGGCTGCAGTGCAGTGGCTCAATCTCTGCTCACTGCAACCTCCGCCTCCTGGGTTCAAGCAATTCTACAACCTCAGCCTCCCGAGTGGCTGGGACCACAAGCACGTGCCATCACACCTGGCTAATTTTTGTATTTTTCGTAGAGACAGGGTTTCGCCATGGCCAGGATGGTCTTGATCTCTTGACCTCGTGATCCACCCACCTCGGCCTCCCAAAGTGCTGGTATTACAGGCGTGAGCCACCATGCCCAGCCTCTTATAGTCATTTTTAAAAAATATTTGGGATCAATCATACCTGGTAATTTGGCATGTAATGATTGAGTGGGCTCGAGAATATTTGAGAACAAATTGCACCATATTATCAAGTTCTCCCTAATCTTACCAAAAAAATGAAAACCACAAATTACTGAATTTTAATATCTCCTGCATCTTCCAGCAAAAAGGAGGAAGGCAGCAACTAAATGAATACTCTAAACACTGCAAAAGAGGTGGGAGGAGAAGGAGAATCCCAAGTAAACCAAATTGGGCTAACCAATTATTATGATTGTTTTTAAAATCATAGAGTTTTATGGAAAAAAATTGTTTTTATGGTGTCAGGTTTGTGGGATCCTCTTTGTGAAAACTTTACTAAATGAAGTTATAAAATTGAGACAAGTTTATTCTAGAAGCTTCTTAGTTGGGGGATAAGACAGTTGGATGAACTGGGAAGACAGTAAATGGTGGAGGTGGAAACCTTGTTCATAAAAATAGTGTTTTTCATGTGTTAAAATAAAAAAAAAAAAGACATGCTTTTCATCAAGAGCTGTAGTCAGTCAGCCTGTGTACTTCCCTTTCCCTGCCAGATAGTTGTTCCTGGCTGGAAGACATTTTATGCTATTTATTTGATGACACACACCTGCTGGGTGGATGAAAAGCAACTGCTCCTGGGGATGACCTACTTCAAGGGCGCAGTCAGCTTCTGAGGACTTTGGCAGGTTATCCTGAAATCATCTGAGTTCATCTTGATATCACCTGTTGAACATATCTAAGACTGGCGTATTTGCAGACTTGTAGGCACAGTTGCTAACCCCAGGGAAGAGATTTTGGAGTCGGTAACTACTTTGTCAGTGTATTGGGAAGACACACTGCTTTACCAAACCTACTCTGAGCATATGGAGTGCTGTTCTTGGCACTTGGAATGTGAATCAGCCCAGGGACCTGCCAGCCGGGAGCAGACCCTCTAGAAGGGGACCTAGTGGGAACATAAGAAGTATGGTCCAACACAGAAGGGATAGATCTGAGGTCGAAGGTAGGGAGGATGAGGGTCCAAGGTAAGAGAAAGGGCCATGAAAAAAATTCTGAAGTCTTCTCCTGAGAGTTTACAGGACACAGATTTCCAGTTGAGATCAGGGAAGAGCAAGGAATATTTGAAATGCATGGAGACACTGTCACCAATTCACCCTTGGAAGCCAACACATCTTGGCATGTTCATTTCTATTCTACAAACACTTATGGGACACATGCTGTTGAGACATGGTAGGCCTTAGGTAGTAAAGATGCAGATATAAATAATCCATGTCTGTCTCCCAATACATATACTCTAGTGAGAAAACTTACCTAAACAAATTTTTATTACTAATTTGAATATAACATAACCATATGTGTACACAAGGAGTTCTTAGCCAAGTTGGGGTTCCTGGAGGTGATGATACCTGGCCTGAGCTTTGACGAGTAAGTGTGTGTTAACCAATGAAGAGAGAACAGGGACATGGAGGCATTAAAACAGTATGTTGTGACCGGGAACTACACATTGAGCATCCCTAATCTGAAAATCCAAAATTCAAGTTTTTGGGCCCCAATATGATGCTCAAAATGAATACTTACTGGAGCACTTTAGATTTCTGAGTTTTGGATTAGAGATGTTCAACTGGCATGTTATTTTGCATATATTCCAAAATCCAAAAAAATGAAAAATTCAAACACTTCAGGTCCCAAGCATGGCGGATAAGGGATACACAACCCATACAAGCTGTCAGTGTTACTTGAGCAAAAAAGACAAGGCGGGAACCAGGGTTTGAACCAGTGGGTACCTTAGAGGAGCTGCCAGGGCCACTCCAAACAAACGTGTAGTTGGAGTAAGAGGACTGTGCTTGCTCCAAAAACAGCTTCCTAACAAGTTCCCTCCCTTGAAAGATCTGAGCAATATTTGGCTTTAACAATGTATGGAAGTGCAGCCTCCTAGAAGATGGGGAAACAGGATACATCCTTATAAAATGTTGTCATCTTGAGGGGGACAGTACACACTTGGGTGACTGACTCTCATTCAGACATGGGAGTTTTGTGGTTTGTGGGTGTGCACTGAAGCCTTGGATTTTGCTGTGGGAAGGGAGCAACGAAGGTTGAGGGCGACACCATAAGGCGTAAATTAATTTTTAGGTGATTTAAAGGATTATGTGAGCGGATAAAAATGTTCTTCGGGAATGTGACAGATTGTATTTTTCAAAACTATTTGCAACAATATTTCCTGCCCCACTGGTCTTCCTCAACCTGCCGCTCCTGCGTCAAAGAGTAGGGTCTGTGTCCCATCCCATCCCCTTAGACCTCGGCAGGCCCTTGCGAATGTCTTGCTGAATAGAATGCACCTCTTGATGCCCTAAGCTCCTCTGTATGGAAAATCTAGAGATTCTACCGAAGGCATATTGGCTCAGTGCTGAGAGTTGGAAGCTCTGAGTCATGACTGAATTGGTAGCTTACATGTTGATTTACAAGACATCTTTGCCTATTACATTTATTTACAGGTCCAGAGGTGATGGCCTGAAAGACTTGGCTCCAAATATAATTTGCCCTTTCTATTGTTTATGATATGATTCTCTATTCAGTGCTCTTTTTCTCTCCTAGTTATCTGTTGCTGAGTAGCCAATCACCCCAGAAATGCAGTGGCTTCAGCAGCAATCTCTCAGGATTTTGGCGGGTTAGGAAAATCAGGGGTCGCTTGGCTGGGTGTTCTCACATAGGGTCTCTTGTGAGGTTTCTTCAGACAGAGATCAGAACTGGAACTGCATAGGAGGGACGGGATCCTGGAGTAGCTGGGGACTGGCTGGGCCCCTCTCTCTTTGTGTCATCATTAGTCAAAAGACCCTTCCAGGTGGTGTCCCTGCATAAGCTGGTTTGGGTGATCTTACGGCATGGCAGCCTCAGGCTTGCCAGCCCGGGGCACCAAAGGTGAGAGCTCCAAAAGTGAGGAGCAGAAGCTGTGTGGTCTTTTCTAACCCAGTCTAAGAAGTCACACAGTGCCACATTCTGTGCTGCATTCTACTCAGCAAGACAGTTGCAAGGGCCTGCCAAAGTTTAAGGGGATGGGATGGGACACAGACCCTACTCTGACGCAGGAGCGGCAGGTTGAGGAAGACCAGTGGGGCGGGAAATACTGTTGCAAATAGTTTTGGAAAATACAATCTGCCACACTCCTGAAGAACATTTTCATCTGCTCACGTAATCCTTTAAATCACCTAAAAATTAATTTACGCATTATGGTGTCGCCCACAACCTTTATTGCTCCCTTCCCACAGCAAAATCCAAGGCTTCAGTGCACACACGCAAACCACAAAACTCCCATTGTCTGAATGAGAGTCAGTCACCCAAGTACGTACTGTCCCCATCAAGATGATAACATTTTATAAGGATGTGTATCCTGTTGTCCCATCTTCTAGGAAGCTGCTCTTCTATACATTGTTAAAGACTAATATTGCTCAGATCTTCCACAGAGAGGCCCCTTTGAATCGAACCTGAGCAAACCAGAGATTCAGGAGTGAATGATTTCAAATCTGTCTTTATTGGCTGTGCACCTGGGAGATTGACGGTACTCTCATAACAAGTTTGGTCAATGGCATTTAAGGGAATACTGAATGTTTCAGGGAGTGGAAAAAGAGAAACTAAAAGAAAGGCCCAGACTTTGGGCTCAAGGAACTTTAAAAACAGAAGCATTGGCCGGGCGCAGTGGCTCACGCCTATAATCCCAGCACTTTGGGAGGCCAAGGCGGGTGGATCACGAGGTCAAGAGATCGAGACCATCCTGGTCAACAAGGTGAAACACCATCACTACTAAAAATACAAAAATTAGCTGGGCATGGTGGTACGCGCCTGTAGTCCCAGCTACTTGGGAGGCTGAGGCAGGAGAATTGCTTGAACCCAGGAGGCGGAGGTTTCGGTGAGCCGAGATCATGCCATTGCACTCCAGCCTGTGTAACAAGAGTGAAACTCCGTCTCAAAACAAAAAACAAACAAACAAACAAAAAAACTGAAGCATTATCATGTCCATGGTAAGAAATCTTCTAATTTAAAGTTAAACAATGGATGTAAATTTTACACTTTTTAGTAAGTGCTATTTCAAGTGTGCTATCTTTAATGAGGACTTTAATTCTTGGTTTACACATATATAGAAAACAGAAGTTGAGTTCTTCAAATATTTGCTATCAAAAATATATGATTTTTAAGCACTGAATTGGAAGCTATCCCTCCCTCCTTGGATAATCTAGAAAAGAATATAGCTCTATTTTGAAATCCCTTCCCGTTCAAGAGTTATGCAAGCAAATAGTGTTGACCAGGATGTTGAATGGGCCGGTAATAATAATGCTACTCCTTCATAACGCTAAGTAATCAGGAATAATGCTGAAAATAAGCGGACCGTCATTTGTTTACTCTATTTGGCGTTGTTAGTACTAATAATGCATTTCAACACAGTCAAGTTGCTAGAGAATGCTTTTGTGACTTTTATGCAGGTTATTGTTATTTAAATGAACAGTCGACTGCACTGTGATGAAAAAATGCATGCTTTTCCCAACTCAGTTATCAACCAGAATTCTAGGAAAATGAGAATTTGTGTCTGCTTTCATTCACAGAGCAAACTGGAGGTCACTGTTTTCAATATGAACCTTTTTCTAGCTTTTCAACAGTGAATAATTAGGAGCTGCTTCTGATATTACCTGTATTCACTGTAGAGAAGGAAAGACTTTTATCTTTCACGATGAAATACATTTTCTCATTCAAACTTTGTCATTCTTTTTTTAAATGGCATTTTACACCACTGAGTCTATCCTAGGTAGTAAAATAAAAGAAATATATTTTCTGAGCTGCAATAGCCTTGTTTATTCAATTTTACTTCCTTAAATTTCATCTCCTCCTTGAAAAATGATTCAAATGCAAAAATGGGTTTAAGGCAGTTGAATATACAAAGGAATTATCTGCATAAAATGCTGTTATACAATCATACGTGTTCCTTGCATTTTGATTAAATGGAATTGATTCTTTTTTGATTATGTGCTTCTATTGTTTTTTAACAGCTTTATTGAGATATAACTTATATGTTACATAATGTGCCCATTTAAACTGTACAGTTCAGTAGCTCTTAGTGTGTTCACTGCAGTGGGCAACCATCACCACAATCAACTCTAAGGCATTTTTATCACCCCAAAAAGAAATCTGGTATCTATTAACAGTAATTCCCCATTTCCTGCCAGCCCCTGACAATCACTAATATACTTTCTGTCTCTATAGATTTGCCTATTCTAGATATTTCATATAAACGGAATCATACTATAAGTGACATTTTGTGTCTGGCTTCTTTCACTTAGCATAATGTTTGAAGTCTTCTTACTGACAAATAATATTCCATTGTATGGATACACACATTTTATCTGTTCATTTATCAATTGAGCATTTGGGTTGTTTCTACTTTTTGAATATTATGAACAATGCTGTCGTGAACATTTATGTACAAGTTTTTGTGTGAACATGCATTTTCACTTCACTTGCTTTCTACTTAGGAGCGGAATTGCTGGGTCATGTAGTAGCTCTGTACAGCTTTTGAAAAACTGCCCAACTGTGTTCTAAAGTAGCTGCACTGTGTCCCAATCCCCCCAGCAATGGATAAGTGTTCTAATTTCTTCACATCATCACCAGTACTTGCTTTTGTCTGTCTTTTTTATTATAGTTTTTCAAGTGGGAGTGAGGAACTGTCTCATTGTGGCTTTGATTCACGTTTCCCTAATGTCTAATGTTATTGAACATTTTTTCATATGTTTATTGGCCATTTGTATTTCTTCTTTAGAGAAATGTCTGATTCTGTTGAGTTTTTAAAAATTCTTTTGCCTCGCAGGCATGTGGCGAGCAGAATTGTTAGAAACAAATATATCTTCCTAAACAGGGTGATTTTCAAACAAATTTATACATTGAAGACGTTGTTTTTACAGTGGTAGTATTTTGATTATGCAATAACTGAATTGATGTCAGGAAGCGATTTGCTTCTAAAACTTTGTATTCACTTTGGTTAGCGATATGGATATTAGTGGTCCCAGAAGCATACCTAGAAAAATAAGCTTGTCTAATTAACTCATTTTACCAATTAGGAAAGCAAGGGCCTAAGATGTGAAATATGTGGGTCACGTGGAGAATTAATGATAGAGTTGGAATTGTATCCAGGTGGAGTACAGGTGTCCGAAATTCTCTGTTTACTTTAGAGAGAATGTAACTTTTCCACTAGGTTCTCAATGATTTTTAAAAAAAATGGTGAAAATGCCCTGCAATTTTGTCAGTGACATTTACTGTTGAGTACTTAACACATATTATTTTCTCTTATCCTTATAGAAGCATATGTAAGATTGATATTTTTATTTTCTCCTTTTATATGTGGGGAAACTGAGGTTAGCTCACTTTTTCAATGGCACCTACATGGTGAGTGGCAGATTTTCTGATTCCAAGCCTGTGTTCTCTTCATTTCTTCTGGATTTTCTGATTCCAAGCCTGTGTTCTCTTTGTCTCTTCTGACGTGTCAGACGAATGAAAGACAGCATCAACACATTGTTCCCTGTGCCATCTTCCAACTTCTCACTAAGTCACTGAAACATATAACTGATAGGTGGCATCAAGGAGCACTCCCTTGCCATTGCCATCATTAACAATTATTTGGCAGTCTCCCTAATTATAACTTTTTCAGCCACCAAGCTAATTTTATTTTACATTATATTCGAGATGACCCTAATTCCCACCCTAATCATTATCACCACTGAGGGTACCAGCCAGAGCGCCTCAAACACTACTACACTAACTTTAGAAGTATAATATAGGGTTCTGTGGACCAAAGAATTGTTCAAATATAAGAATATTTGAACCAGGCACCAATAACAAAACGACTTACATTCATAGGGTTATTTTTAGTTACAATGCATTTGACTTACACTTTTGATGCTCACAATTGTACAAGCTTTTCATTATCTTTGTTTTTATGTACTTTTAATACTCATGATGAGACTAAGCCCTGAAGGGCTTTAGTTACTACAGTCCTAACTGCTGAGGCAGAGTTGCTTCTCAGAAACAAGTCTCTTGGCTCCCGTGTGGTCCTGTGTGTTCCCTCTGATGTACCATCCTCTGCCAGAATGATGTTCTGTTGGGCACCCTTTTGAAAGAAGAAGAGACTTTATACCATTATTTCAGAAAACAAGAGAGCTATGAACAAGTAGAAGTTATAGGGAGGCTAATTTTGAACCCATATAAAGAAGACTTGATCTGTCCAACAATGAAATGTGTTGTCTTATGAAGGAGTGAGGTCTCTTGTCATTGAAATGTTCAAGCTAGGGCTGAATGACCATCAGGAAGGATCTTCCAGGAGGCATTTCTGCCTTGGGGGAGGTGGGGAGTGTGTTTGTGGTGCTGAGAGATGTTAGAGGGCACCTAAGAGCCCTTTCAACTATGAGGCCGTGGATCTTTGTTCTTAGTTAAGAGAGTAAGCTGGTTTAAGGGGTCCTGTATCCTTACCAAGGAAAGAGAGTTTATCTCTGATACACTCTTATCCTGCAAAGTTAAGGGTACAGGGTTTTCTCTTTAAAAGAAGTAACCAAATTTATCAAGCTAAATTACTGATTTGTAAAAGGTTAGAACAGCTGTTCCCATCGATGTTAACAGTTGCTGTACACAACGTGGGATCCATCGTCAAATAAGATTTAATATGAGCCTGCAATGTGCTGCTGTTCCATGTGACTATCCAAGAGAAAGAGAAAAGAGGCAGCAATTCCAAATTCGTTTTTTATTTTTGCGAAGTGCTTCAGAGGCACTTTCACACCCAGTGGTTCTCAGCTCTTGTTGCTCATGCGAATCACCTGGGGAGCTTTTTAAAATTCAGATGCCCGGGCTCCACCACAGACCAAATAAATCATAATCTCTAGGGGTGGGTTCCCAGTATCAGTATTTCTTAACAGCTGTTCGGGTGATGCTTACATGAAACCAGGGCTGAGAAGAGCTCTTCTAATCGGTCTAGTCTGAGCATGAGTCCAGGCAAAATCTGGACATTTGCTTTTGTAATTCAGCTTGTTGTCTAGCATTCATATTATCAATTCAAAGTCAATGCTCTTCAGTACAATAAGGGGCAGTGTCCCACAGTGGTTCACACTGCTGCTCTTGAGCCAGACAGCTTGGCTTTGTCCACTTACTAGCTTTGTGATGTCAGGAAAGTTATTTTAATCACTCTATGCCTCAAGTTGTTAATTTGTAAATCAAGATAAGAATAGTAGTTGTAAAGGGTGAAGTTAATAAAGACCCAAAAGAAAATTAAAACTCTCCATATTATGATATTATGATTACCGCCATCATCATCGTCCTCCTCATCACCATTATTGTTTTGCTGTTGGTAGCAGGTGGTATCCTGCTAGATGTTAGAAGCTACATACCTATTGAAAAAGTCTGTTCTTCCCTGTACAGGACTATACAGGGAAGTTGGCCTTAGTTGAAAACTAAGAACTCTTACCAGCATTAGCAGCATGCTTCCTCAGATCTAGAACTTCCGGATTAAGTGGAATGTTTTGATGGGACTTTTTGCAAGAAGTTCGGGCTTGAAGCATGTAACTTGTGGTTCCATCCAGCACTTGATTCTACAGTGAGCTCAGGCCACAGCTCTGCAAGGTGGCAGCCGGGACTGAAGGCTCAGGCTGGGTTTCTGTTTAGTGACTGGGAAAGGCCTGTACTGCGTGTGGCAGGCTGACCTCCTGTATCTTCAGGACAATCTCAGTTTCAGATGGCCCACCCTGCTGATCAAACCCGTGGTTCAGAAAGCATGGTTACTGTGAAACAGGAAGCAATGGCTCCCAATGCCAGTGTCCTAATTGTGTAAAAAGTAAATATAATTTGAATATGTGGGATAGCCTCAGAGAAAAATCAAAGAATACAATTAAGCACGGGTTCTATTTAATTTTCAGTTGATGAAGGAATAATTTGAAGTTGCTCTAATCACTGAGAGTACAGTAGCAATAGTCCTTCATTCTCTGGGATTCGGGGCAAGTGTGGACATTATGTGCATATTCAGGTTTTCTAGCACACAGATTCTATCAAGATAGTCTCTAACTGCAATTGTGGAAACTGGTGGGGTATTCCTAGCAGGAGCTCAAAGGATTGTAAAGCTGAATAACATCTTTGTCTCAAGAACTTATATGAGAAACTTTTTTCCCTTTTTCTCCTACAAGCATTTAGTGGTTCACCATTGCAGACACTGCATAGCTTTGTATCCCACACAGTCCTCATGTTAATAGTTGTTTGCTAGTTGTGGTCATTTAATTGAAAAAAGCTGGCACGGAGATATTACAGGTCCCAATAGGTCATTTCTATATCAAGTATTGTGTTATTGCCTTTAACCAAGCCCTGCCCAAGGCCAACTTTATTACAGGCATTAATAACATAGAATAGGATAGACAGAGAGCTGAAGAAAAGATGTGTGTGGCCTTTAAATATGCCAATCATCTACAGTTCGGAGGGTTGCTTACCATGGCATATCGCCAGCTGTGCATTATAGAATTCCAGATGGCATGGTAATGTTGGTACTTGTTTTGGATTCACCCTGGTAATGTGGTTAAAGAGGGCACTGAACTATGACTGAGATCCTTTTGCTTGCCTCTTCCAGGGTAGATCCTGGAAGGCTCTCTCCCCTCCAGCCAATCAGAAGGCTGCCCCAACCTCTCTTGGGGATTATGGACTCAGCACAAATTGCTCTTTCCCCATGAGTTCCCATGGACCTAGTAACCCTACATTAAGAGGGCAGTGAGATTGCATTCCCTCATGTGATCTGTGTTCGCCCTCCCTCAGACCCCAGAGCTGGGGCAAGTTTGGACATGAACTCAATGACTCTATAGATATGGGTTGTGTTTTCATTAGCTTGCCTGTCTTGCTTGCTCTGTGTTCTATGAGATTTCCTTCCCCAACCCCCTTTTTTGTGGGGGGAAAAAACAACAACCCTTTTTATAGAAATTTACACGGAGACAAAATAATGTAATGAACCCACATCTCCAACACTAACCATCAACAGCTACCAACATGTCACCATTCTTATTTTATTCTTCTCTCTTTTTCTTTTGTTAGAGTATTTTAAAGCAAATCTCAGATATCCTGCTTTACCTGTAAATATTTCAGCATGTATCTCTACTATGTACAGCATAACTTGTAAAAATGTAATCACTATTTAATAATGATTACATAACTTCTCTGGGTTTAGTTTTTCCTAATTGTTTCCAGAGTGTTCACAAATGGTTGGACAGTTTAATTCAGGCCCCAAACAAAGTATATCTGTTGCATTTGGTTGATCTATCTTTAAATGTTCTTTCATCTATTACAGATTCTCCTCCTGAGTTTTTATTACATTTATTTGTTGAAGAAATTGTCCCATGAAAATTTTTGTCCCGTAGATTATTGCCCTGTAAACATTTTCATATTATCTATTTGAACTATAGCATCTCCACGGTGCCATTTAACATGTTTCTCTTTCCTCATTACTTCCTGTAAATTAATAGTTAGATCTAATGACTTAATGAGATGCAAATTCAACTGTATCACATCGAGAGGCACATAACATCTGTTCGCATTACTTTTATTGAGATCAGGATTGGTCAGTGGGTTCAGGTGTGGTCAGCTTTTCATCCACTATGAAGTTCTCTATCAACCTATTAACATTATAGTTTTAGCAACCATTGATGATCACTGCCAGCATTCATTCGGGATTACAACATGGTAATGTTCACTTCTATCATTCAGTGTGCATTTACTAGCTATTATTCTACCATATAGAAGAACTTACTATCATCAACTATTTGGTTACTCTGAAATACAGTTCATATAAGAAAGGCAGCATAAATGCCTCTGTTTATTAAATAGTTTTCAGATTATTGAATGGCACCAGCAACCTCCAAAATTGATCAGTGATGCTTGCTTCTTTGTTTGTTTTGAGTATCATTATAAACCCTTGGGCTTTTATCTATTTTATAAGCGTCAGTCCATCAATCTTTCATCAGTGAGTTCCTCTTCAAGTTGCCTCTTTTGCCTTTTAACATGAGTCCACTCGTCTTTTCTGGCAGGATAGGATGCTATAGGCTCCTGGCCCAAAACTGGGAGCAACTATTTTCTAAAGAATCCTGACTCCCTTTTTAAGGAAATAGTATACACAGACTTCAGTCTGGACACCAGAGGTAGATTCCCCCTTATATGGTTATGTTTCTGTGGAATGGTAATGCAGTCCTCCTTGGTATCTCATCGTTCCTGCTCTCTGTAGGCATCTGGTTCCACCTGGATACTCCCTCCCCACACACTCTTGTAATGGCCAGTGCTCCTTGCGATTCCACCTCCCTTTCTAATGAGATCCTGCTGCTTCTCTTAACGCTTTCATCCTCTCCTTCTAAATCAGATACCCCAACACATCTCTGGGCTTCTAAGACACCAAAGTGGGGAATGCTTCTGTAATGTTGAAGAATAATGGTACCCTTTTTTACATAGACTATTTTTAGGTTTTTATTTCTTGAAGGGAGTCAACCTCCTGTTGCTGTCTAAGCCTTCAGTAGACACCTTTAGTCTTGTTCTTAACGCAGAACAACTGTGCTTTGAAAAACCATGGAAACAGGCAGTCCTGGCCCCAGACCCAGGGAGGCTTCATAAAACCAACAGTCCCCTCGGGTGTGTGTCTTTCCTAGGAGGCGTGGGCCGTTGCATGTTGAAATTCTTAACTAGGGTTGCCAGGTAATGAAAAAGTGTTAATGAGTTAGTTTATCTTAACCATTTGAGGCCACCTACCTATTTGTACATTTGATGAAAACTACAGAACTTCTCTCTGGAAAAATGTACATACACACAAAATTTTATAGACAATTTCATGGGTTTCAAAGTGCTCAGGGTATCTTGGAGTTTAATTTGTTTTCATAAGCTGGATCCTGATGTGCGCTGGCTTGTTAGAGGTTGCAGGGTTTAGAGGTGAGTCTGGACAAGAAGGCACATGCTGATATCAGGGGGCCAGTTTCAAACCACTCCACTCAACATTATTTATTCTTTGGTCTAGAGGTACTCCTGGTGCCAGTCTGTGAACTACTTGATGTCAGTCCATGACATCATAAATGTAGAAATTGAGAACAGACATCTAAAAACATTTATAGCAATTTGATGTTGTCACAACATGCAAGCATATGGTCCTTGGACTTGTCTCACTGAAGAGGATACGAACTATTTCGGGTGCTGATGGGTTCACAAGCACCACAGTGGGAGCTGCATAGCAGTCATGCACACAGTGGGAGCTGCATAGCAGTCATGCAAAAAGCCCCCCTCCCATCAGTTGTCAACAGGTTGGGAATTAAAAACCAAAGCACAAACTGATCCTTCATCTCAGATAGTAGTCTAAGAAGCAACAGCAGTGAAACCTAGAGTACCTTTGCTCAGCCTACCTTGTTGTTTTAGCCCGTCTTTCTCCACTCTATACTTCTACAAAGTATACCTTGAAGAAGGCATAGAGTTGGTATTCAGTACATGTTTGCTGAACTGTGAGCAGAGCAAAACTGATGCCCAGAAGGAGAAACCACATTCTTTCCCTAATAATACCCTGCAGGGAAAAAAATTTTTTGGATAATTCCTAGGAAGTTGAAGCTATTTACATGAAAAAAAATATGATAGGAAATAAATTATAAGCAGTCATTAACTTCACTGAATATTCTCATAGAACATGAAATAAATAGAGTAATCTTAAAGAGCTAGTCCTCACAGTGGAAGTTGTGAGGCTTTTGGGATGGTTTGTATTTCAGTGTACATGTTATATGAATTAACAAGTCAGTAACAAATGTGATCCATTTACAGGGCAGAAAAACTAGAGTGGTCTCAAGTATAATGATAGTCACAGTGGGAAGAATATAACTTAGTTAATCATCAGGATAAGAGTTTATTATAAACAAAAGGCAAACGAGATGTGGTCGTGCATTCTCTGCCCAGTTTTTCCCTCCTCTTACCCCTTTATGTCATCTCTTTCTGTCTCTACTAAGGATCCAGAATCAGTAAAATCTGTTCTTTGAAAATCTTGTCTTTAAAAACTGGACTTGTGGAAAGTCACCTGGTAGCCTGAAGACTGACCAACATAAGGAGGAGTTTAATCCCAACCTCACAGCCCCTCTTCACCACCCCCATACCCAGTAGGGTTCATTCACACGCCTAGCAGCACATCTGTGACACAGCAGGCTGCTGGGGGGACTGTCTAAACCCAAAGTCACCGGCTGTCTCACTAACCAGAGAAAGGGATTTTACCTCAGGACAATTTCACAGGTTCTGTGGAGCCAGCCCCTACATAAAGAGACAGATTTCCTTCTTTCTTTTCTTTCTCTTTTTTTTTCCAGTTGAATGGATTCAGAAACATCTGCTAAAAGTAAAAGAAGAAAAATTGAGAATATGTCACAGTGCTGGTGAAATCAGCAGTAGAGGGTGTCTGGGTATGTGCTGCAAGAGTGACACCTGGTTTATGTTGATCAACAACTAAGTGAGCTATAAATTTTGTGGAAATAACTTTGCTATTTAACATCCCGTTTGAGCAACACGGGCCATTTGCCCTATCTAATAAAAAGGAAACGGTTGTCCTGCTTACCACGCATGGGACATTGAAGGGATAAAGGAGCTTGTCCACAGTATGTGGGCCCAGAAATGCACAATAGCTAAAGTCTGATGTGACCTTTGTCTTTGCAAACAAAGAGACTGATAACCCAGGTGTCACCACCACATTTTTTAAACACATGCATCACAAAGGGCTCAGCTTAATGACTATTTTCAAGTACAAGCGAATTTCCTGAAATGGAAGAAAAAAAATAGAATCATACTTGGGGGTAATTAGGAGCTCAGGCTACCCCTAGTGTTCTTGGACAATATCTAACCACAAATGTTCACTGCACCAGTGCCCTGACTCCTATATGGAGTTTTATGGTTATTGATAGTAACGTGATTATGGTAACCATTATATGTACCAGGCATGGGGCTACGCACTTTATGTTAGCAGATTTTTTTTTAAACTTGCACAATAGGTCTAATAGATCAGTGTTTTATTATTCCATTTTGTAAGTAAGGAAACAACTGACTCACATCATGCCCTCCGTAAGTGGCTGAGCTGGTCTCAGAACCAGGTCTAACTTCTCAGCCTTAATAATCGTGATGCCTTTTAGGGGTTTGGGTTTGGTTGGTTTTGATTTTTTTTTTTTTTCCTTAAAAATTTAGAAAGATAGGCTTCTTTGCTCCTTGACTAGAAAGTTTCCAAACCTCTTTTTAACCTACAACTCACACAAGCCAACAAAGGGAATGGAAATTGGCCACAGCACTATCACTGAAGGGTAATAATTAATGAAAAAGGTGTCACTTACAGGGGTCAGTGACACAAAGTCTATCTCTCTCTTGGATTAGCTTTTCTAGCACTCTTTAAATACTGTGTTGATAGCAGCAGAGACCAAAAAGAATGCAACAGACCAGAACATTTTAAACCTCTGGGAAGAAAAATATAAAAATAAAGCTGTTTTCATAGCCTTAAACAACTTTTTACACTTCTTTTTCTGTGGTAGTAATTGTGATATTTACCACTTCTTGTGGGCCTTTTTTGTGCTAAACAACATGCGTATTTTTAATTATCAACAATCCCACAAATAGGAATCGTCTCAATTTTACAGTTAAAGAAACTTAGACTCCATGAGGTTAAGAAGTTATAGCTCTGTGTAGAATCTTAGGAAGACTTTCTCATTATGAAATAGATCACATTCAAAATATACAACAGAAGTAACAAAAAAAAAAAAACCACACAAATTGATAAACACTTCCAAGAGATCTCTTACAAGGCACCAGCAGTGAAGGTTCAGCACCTCCTGTGGGCTGATCCCTTGTGGTTGATGGGGATATGAAGCAACTGAAATACAGTCAGGTGGGCACTCCATTTTCAAGCCAGCTGATTACAAGCTGAACACCCTTGGTGTTATCTACAAAGACATGGAAAGGGGGACCTGCGCCTCTTCAGGGCTACAGTGGTACTGACTAGAGTCACATCTTGTGATCAGGAGAGTTCCTCCAGCGCTCTTTGTGCACAGCAAACCTGATACTCCTCAGAAAGTTCCACAGCCAAAGAGTGGGCATGTGACCTACAATCCAGGGGCCCCAACATCAGGACCTGTCTCCCCAGCAGCAACCCCTGGATTGAGTTATTTAACTGCTCTGGACCTGAGTCGCACTGACCATAGAAGAGGGCGTATTTCTCAGAACAGTTGGAAACTTATGCTGGCCTTTTGTACAAGTCATACCAAGCTCCTTCGAAGAACAGATGACCAATCTGGATTATCTTAAAGGTGGAAATGGGCTTTTTAAGGGGGAGAGGTGACTGCTACCAGGAAGCCAGAGATTTCCACCGTTCTGTGACCCTCCTTTCTCTGCATTCTTCAGGACGGGGCTAGAACCTGAGTTTACCCCTTCTCCTTGTGAGAATGTGTCTTCAGGAGCTTATTGATAATTCTGTCTTTCAGCACAAATTTGTGAAGTTGAGGTCCCTGCCAATTGATAGTCACCTTGTGGCTTGAACCTGTCAGTCCAAAAGAATAAATATCTACCTTTGGATTCATTTATAGTGAAGGATGGTGCAGAGCCAGGATGCCTAAGTGTCACCTCCTGCAGTTCACTGACACATGGAGTCCTTTTGACAGGTGCCCAAGAGTTTCTTCTTCCTATTTATTAAAACGTATACTTTTAGAGTGTTTTTTTTTTAACCTCTTTCCCCCTTTCCTTCTTGTTCTTTCTTCCCTCTTTGTTCTTCTTTTTCCATCTCCTTGTCTTTTTAACGCTCTCCTCTCCTCTCTCCCTTTCCACTCTTCTTGTCTGCATTTTACTCAAACACCATATAATAAATCCAGCAAATGCTCATAAAAATACCAATTCCAACCACAAAAATGGCAGCACAGCCTCAAATTGGAAAAAATTTGGAAAAACAAACAAATCATCAAAGACCAAAGACTATAAAGATGGGATTCGCTGTGAGATATATTTTATAATGAAAATTCTGCTATAAAGAAGCATCTTTTAATTTTTTTTTCCTTGATATAGTCTGAATAGTTTATACCTGATGCCAAGAAATTATATATAATTAGTCTGGGTAATATATAATTTCCATTTGATTATATATATTAAAGTGATTAAGGAACTTCAGTTTTCACTAGTAAATATCTGCCTTCTTTGTTGCATTCTGGGTTTGTAATGACTGTTTATATCAAGGGTAGCACTCATTCAGAACTGAAGGGAGCAAACGTTGGAATGCTTTAACCAAGACTGGTTGCCTGACGTCTGTGAATCTGGGAGATAACATGAAGTTAGCTATATTTTGGAAAAAACGGAAGAGATTTCAGGCCAATTCCTTGAAACCATCATGTAGTTTTGCATGACTTCCCATAAGAAAATTGCATAAGGCCGGACACGGTGGCTCACATGTGTAATCCCAGCACTTTTGGAGGCTGGGGGGGGGGGAGTCACCTGAGGTCAGAAGTTCGAGACCAGCCTGACCAACATGGTGAAACCTTGTCTCTCCTAAAAATTTAAACAAGTAGCCAGACGTGGTGCTGAGTAACTATATTTCCAGCTACTCAGGAGGCTGAGACAGGGGAATCACTTGAATCCAGGAGGCGGAGATTGCAGTGAGCCAAGATCGTGCCACTGCATTCCAGCCTGGATGACAAAAGTGAAACTTCATCTTAAAAAAGAAAAAAAAAGCTGCATAAAACAGCATAGATGAGAAGGCATATTTTAGGATAATTATTCAGTTAAGTATGTGACATCACCAATATTTTTAATATTGCATAGAGTAAAATGAAATTTTTGACATGTCAGTTTTTAATTAATGACTTGTTTGCCTTTTATAGATTACTTTCATATGTTTATTCCACATATTTTATAGCAGTTTTTCTTTTTCCAATTAGAGGATGGATTTCATCCTTTATCTTTGCAGGTAGCTGATCCAAGACATTTTTATGTAAATGGATTAATTAATTAGTAGCCTTTATTTGAAACTTAAAAAGAAAATAATCCTTTTTGAGAGGCATTAACTGTTTTTTAAAGCCACAAACGATTCTTTACTTAAGCACCTTGTCACACAATTAGAAATTATTTGACAGCATTAATCATAATAAAATGCATTACCCTTTACTGAATCACCTTTTTTTCAAGCTAATTAAAAGAATCCATTTCCTAGGAGACTGTACAGCAACTTCACTTGTAAAAATCATATTTTTGGGGAACTTAACAGTACATATTTGTGAAACTTTTGAGCAAATGACATCACAGGTTCAATTACCTGTACAGCCTTTGTGAGAAGGCATCTGGCTACAGAGATGTGCTGGGTTCTAGGAAAGGCAGCTGCTACATCTGGCCTTTTTTGAGAGCCCTTAAGCCCCTCTGCTTTCCAACCCTCGGATTTATGCAAATCAGAAATCTTTGGCGGTCTCCACTTCCTGGCCAGGCCAGCATAATCCACTTCCTTCGGGTTCATGTGACCATGCAAATTTGAGCACTCCTGAATAGTCCCAGAGGGGCTGTGCCTCTCATTATTCCTGCCCCATTCTCTGTGCAGTGCAAGCATTCAGACTATGAATGGACAAGGATTTAATTACTCACCACATCTGTCAGATCAGATTCAACTTGAGAATGAAGAGAATCCCAGACAAGCCCAGTCGTTTCTTTGCAATGTTCTTCATGGCCGAGGTCATCCAGCTCTGTCTTCTAGGGAATATTTTCCACTCCTTGTTTCATGACCTTCTGGAAAGCAGGGACTCTGGCTTTTGGAGATCCATTACTGGGCCCTTCACATTGTGTGTGGCCTTTGCAAATGTTAATTAATCTTGCTGATGATGCACTGAGCATCAGGGAGCCCTTTATTCCCCTTGGGCTACTGATGACCAATATCGATGCCAGAAAGTTTTCCTTACTGTTCCCTGACCCACATGTTCCTCTCTGGGTGTGCTTTGCTGGTTTTCCCGTCTCTCTGATATGTTTCCACATGGCAGATTGACTGCTTACATTACTAGGTCAGCCAGAGTTGACATAGTAAAGGTGGACGGTCCCCAAGTAGAGAATATATCTCCAGTTCCAAGGCTATCAGCCTTCCCAGGAAAATGTGCATAATGGCAGGCAGGAAGGAAGGTATCCACTGGGGACCAGATGATTCTGCTCAGTGAATGGGCACTAGCAGCCCTTCCCCTAGGTTTATTTCCTCACTGGGATTATCTGGGTTTAAAAGGAGATTCTTGGCACGTTTAGCTCTGGAATACAAGGTTCTTTGGGCTGTCATGGCGTTTTGAGGGTTTTAATTTTATTTTTTATTTTAACATTTTTTTTTGCTTTTACCTTTTTAAAATTGAAATTTGTATAAAATTAACCATTTGAAAGTATACCATTCAGTACATTATAATTTTACACAACCCTCATGTCTACCTAGTTCCAAAATGTTTTCATCACCCCAAAAGAAAGCCCCTTACCCATTAAATAGTCCCTTCCCATTCCCCCTAGCCCCTGTCTCTATGGATTTACCCACACTGGATATTTCATATAAATAGAGTCACGCAATATGTGACCTGTTGTGACTGGCTTCTTTCATTTGGCATGAAGTTTTTGAAGTTTGCCATAGTGTTTTACTGAGGCATTCTCTGGCGTAGGTGTGTTTATTATTCGGTCAAAGTTATTCATGTGTTCTCTGTTTTGGGTAATGTCATTACCATGTATGGAAGCCTGAGAGTCAGCTGGGACCTCTCCTCTTCTCTCACTACTGTTGTATAATTGTTCTTTAAGTCCTGTGGATTCCGCATTTGCAATACTGCTAGTCAGTTCTCATTTACATTCTTTTTTTTTTTTTTTTTTTTGAGACAGAGTTTTGCACGTGTTGCCCAGGCTGGAGTGCAGTGGTGTGATCTCGGCTCACCACAACCTCCACCCCTTGGGTTCAAGCCCTTCTCCAACCTCAGCCTCCCATGTAGCTGGGATTACAGGCACCCGTCACCATGCCTGGCTAATTTTTCATTTTTAGTAGAGATGGGGTTTCACCATGTTGCTCAGGCTGGTCTCAAACTTTTGACCTCAGGTGATCCACCCATCTCAGCCTCTCAAAGTGCTGGGATTACAGGCATGAGCCGCTGTGCCCAGCCTTCATTTACATTCTAACTGCTTTTGCCCCTTTCAAATGCTATTCCTGCCCAGTTTGTCTTTCTCAGACATAGACCCATCTGCCCTTCTCAGTACTCTCCAGTGGCTCCTCACCACCTCAAAATAGGGTTCAAGGTCCTTACCAGCAGGCCAAGGCTGTTCACAATCTGTTCCTCCTCTCCCTCCATCATTCCCATCCCTCGCCTGTACACCATGTCTGAGCCAAGCACATTAGACTGCTGGGGGGTCTCTTGCTGATGGTGCACACTGCCTCTTGCATCCCTTCATGTGTCCTGTTCTCTCCCCACAATGATATTCTTCCTCTCCCCACAAATGCAGGGGTCCATTCCTTCTTTATAATCTTGCATTTTACCTTCTCATCTTACCTGGCCCATTAATCAGAATGAATTCCTCCTTTCTCCCTAAGTCTGGCATTTTATTTATCATAGTACTTATCACAACCAGTCTTGAAAAGGGCTCTTTGAAATTTCAGTCCTTTTCTCACTAAATTCTGAGCTTCATGAAGGGAGAAATCTTGTCTTACTCATTTTAATAGCGAGCAGCAACCATTGTGTGCGTGTGTGTGTGCGTGTGTGTGTGACAGAGTCTCACTCTGTCACCCAGGCTGGAGTGCAGTGGCATGATCTTGGCCCACTGCAATCTCCACCTCCTAGGTTCAAGGCATTCTCCTGCCTCAGCCTCCCAAATAGCTGGGATTACAGGTGCCCACCACCATGCCCGGCTAATTTTTTTGTATTTTTAGTAGAGAAAAATGGCCAACATTTCACTATGTTGGGCAGGCTGATTTCAAACTCCTGACCTCAAGTGATCTGGCCACCTCGGCCTCCCAAAGTGCTGGGATTACAGATGTGAACCACCATGCCCAGCCCTCAATAAATATTTTGTTGAATGATTTGAATTTTCTTCTCTAAAGAAAAAACCATGAGCCTATAAGGACCCCCGAGTCATGGAGAAAACCAGTCTGAAGGAAAGTAACAAGAACTAACATTTAAAATAGTAATTACGTTTATCTTCTATTGAATTTAAAGCTACCCATAGTGACTCACCAGTTGTAATTCGCAGAAAATGCAACTTTGCTTTTTTTCCCCTTCTGATTATGTTCTTCATTACAAATCTCAAGAGTTTTATATGCAGTTGCCAAAAATCTTTCTTTTGACAAATTGCACAGGAGGCATTTTGAGATTGTGTGATAGACTCGATTGAATTTAGGCCAAGTCCTGTACACTTGTTTCACTCAAAACAAAAATGCAGATGTAGGGCTACTCAAACATTTACCTATTTATTTTCTCCCAACCCTCCAAATTCATCTTTCTTTAAAAACAATCAATCAGATTCCTTTTAAATTAAATGCCAAGTAAACAATGCAAATAAAACTATTTTGTTTGCTGAGAAGTAATTGAAAATCTGCAACTAATTACAAATTGGCAAGCTCCGAGCCTACAAATAGCTGAAACACTCTGCTGAGGCATTGTTTACAGCTGGGTTCAAAACCGGTTTCCTTACACCAGCCATCCACAAGTTATTAATCAATACTTTGCCAAGTTCTATACCTCACCTTCAAAAAATTGTAATAAACATTTCATTTTCAATATGGGCTTCATAAACAAAGCTGTTAAAAACTAGAGGAGGTTTAATTGGTTAGAACACACAAAGCCTGCTCTTGGGTTATGTGAATTGGCTTCTCGTTTAAATACCCTGTTCTTCCTCAACTGCTCAGGAACCTGCAACCTAGTTGAAATTAATATTCTGTCGGTCTGGTCACTGAGTCCCCTATGGCACTCTAAGTGCCACAAGACCTGCTTTAATTGCAGTTCTGGAGAAAAGCAACATGTTCATGGACCACAGAGACACAGGGACAACGAATGTAATTTGGCTTTGTGACATGCAGGTAAAGTAGAATTTACACTGTGGTGAAATTCAAAATATGCATTTTTTAAAATGTTTTTTTATTTAAGTATAGTATATGTTTATTATATATGTCTATATAAATATATTTTTTTCCTAAATATGTGTGTGTGTGTGTGTGTGTGCACGTGTGCAATTTTTTTTTTCCTAAATGCTCTTCCTCCAGATCTTCACTTGGCTGGCTCCTTCTTTTCCTTCAGTTGAGTGCCACTCCTCAAAAAGACTGTTCACCTTACCTAATATCTCATATTTATTTCCTTTCTTCATTTGTTTACTTGATTATTGTGATATACCACCTCTAGATTGTAAGCTATGCAAGGACAGACTCCTTGTCTATCTTATTCACTAGTCTCTAGAACTACTCTCTCTAACCCTATTCTTTAATAATAGGGCCTGGCACATGGTAAGTTTTGATAAGTATTGGATGGGCAGACGTTTAGATGGGTGGGAGGGTGGATGGATGGACTAAAGCGATGAATGGGGGAATAGAGTCAGGTTGGTTGGGACGAGCAGCAGAGTTAAGATAGAAATTGAATGCCAGGAAAAGGCACGATTCTAAAAGTGGCTCCTCTGATAAGAAACCAAAGCCTGTTATAAATGCCAAAATTGGAAACAAGTGTACAACCTAGCATGCATTTAGCCATGAGAGATGGTGAGAAGTGCTGCATAAGGATTTCTCTTCAGTGTTCACAAGGGTTGTTCTGCGGAAAAACAATTTAACCGTCTCTGGTCCCAAAGGGTTGAACCGGAACCAACAAGTGGAAATGACTCAAACACATATTGTGCCTTTAAATGAGGAGCTTTCTCCCTGAAAGAGCCGCCCTGGATAGAACACGGGTAGTGAGATGATGCTGGTGGAAGTGTTTATACATACAGTGCATAAGGATTCAGCAAGGAGGCTGTCAAAGGGGAAACTGACATCAAATGTGCTGTGGTTTTGGGTCACTTATCCGGTCCCTTCCCATCTCAAAGCTTGATGCTTCTGTAATAATCAAGGGAGAAACCCATGATACAGTGGGCAGTTATTTTTTAAAAGAGGAATTTTAATGAACTGTGGATTATTCATTTTGTCCCATAAGAAGATAACTGAAAAATGACCAAAATGAACTGAACAAAAATGTTCAAACAAAATAATAGGGCTGAATTTTTAAAGTCTCTTCCACATCTTCTGTTCCCTGGGATGCCTTAGACAGGGGTGTGCAGTATTTTAGGCACATCGTGAGCAAGGCGCCTGCACTCCCAGGGGGTGGCAGGGACAGCATGGAAGGTCTTCATCCAGCTCTCTGATCTTAAGGCACAGCCTCGGTGTGTGAAACACAGGGGAACCTCAAAAATAGAACAAGAGCACTCCATCCATGTGAAGATGACTGTCAAGGTCACCGAGACCTACAGTGATCTGGCAAATTAAAGCTGTCTCTGGCCGCCTTTCCTTTCAAAACATACTTCTGGAGATTAAAAAAAAAAAAAAGACTACAAATTGGTGATTTTCTGATGCTGAGTCATTTTTCTTGCAGTTCTTTCTGCTTTTCCTGTTTATTGTTGGTTTGATAGCTGACCATAGAATCGGTGCCTTTCAGCAAGTGTTAGGGAGAGAGCTGAGGATGGAGATATAGGGCCCCTCTAGGCACATTTAGGCAGGGATGTACAGGGCCTCCTGCAAGCTCTCAGATGTCCAGAGATCAAGATGAGTGTCTTCTCTGATTAATGAAGTTTGGATTATTCACTGTACCACAATCTAGTTCTTATCCTTGTCAATCACTGGGGCAAATGGAATACTGCGAATAGAATGTGGGAAGGGAGTTTAGATTCCTTACCTGGTTTCTAGCCAGTCTGATTCATTGTCTGACCAGAGAGGCCTCATTTGGGTCACGTAAAGTGGCACCATCCCTGGTGAGCTCCCTTACTGTTCTCTGTGCCCATGCATCCCTTCACTCATCCTGGTAGGCCCAGCTTCAATGTTACCTTCTGTTTGAAGCTCCCCAAGCCTTCAGGCAGAATAACCAGTGTTTCCTCTGTGCTTCCTCACTCTCCTCTATACCGCATTTGTCAGTTTATGTTATGGATTGTTCTGTACAGACTTGGCTCTCCTGTGAGGCTAGGAGATCCTTGAGAATGGGGAATGTGTTTGCTTTTTTCTTTATGTCTAGGATTCAGCACAGTTCTTGGTCAATGAATGTGCGATGAATAGGAAAACACATGACTGGACACCTGAAATATTAAAGGAATTAATATTTTGTAGGTAGAGAAATCAAGACGTATAAAGTTCAGAGTGAAATTGATCTTTTCTCTCCAATTCAGTCTGATTAAATGGTGACAGTTTCTTCCTCTCATGAGCCACCTGGATCTTAATGGTTATTTTCTTACAAGACTGTTGAGTTTACAATATGACAGAACTGTGTTTACCTTGGAACGAGGGCTGTCCTCTATTAAGAAGCTTTCAGTGTAGCCCGAGAGTCAAGTTATGGAGTTGTGGGCAAAAAGCCAGTAAGGAAAACCTTGAGGAGAAAGCCCTCATGGATGAGAAATGCTTTATCATCTGGTCCCTGAATCTTACGGAATTCAGCAGTGACCTCGCCAAACGATCCCACAGTGAGGGCTTAACACGTTCCACGGCCTGAACTCGCTCTGAATGGACTCCAGATTCCCGATGGTGCATGCAGCCCCTCAGGGTCAGAGGCCATCATGCTGCCAATCAGACAAGGCAGGTGGAATGTTGCACAGCTGCACTCTGGTCGCATTTCCCAACACCTCCCTGTCCCATGATGCTTGCACGTCGACATGCTGTTCCTGCCACCTTGTCATACTTGTATGTGTGGAGAGCCTGTCCCCAGTGCTGTTTTCTCAGGACAAGCTCAACTTCACTTCCTCCCGCCTTATCAAACTCTTTGTTTCCAAAATTGTTAATCAAGCCACTTGGGGGGTTGAACTCAACTCCTCCCTCCCAATATCCTCCCAGCTCAAAGTAATGAGAAGAGCAATTGACCATAGTGAGGAAGTCCATGGTCTCCATTTTCCCCAGTCTATCATGCCTTGGATGGTTAAGGCTGTTGAATATTGTCAGTTGCATGTCCCACATGCTAATGGTGGTTATTTGGCCATCTCTGCTTCAACCCCAGCTTTAAAAAACCATATGGCCCCAGATTCTTCAGTGCCACAGCTATGGTACTCTTCCATGCTAAGAGACTTAACAGATGAAATACGGTTTTCCGAACCTCTTTTCATTTAGCATCGAAATAACAAGCGATGTCTTGTATTTCAACAGAGACTTTCTTTTCACTCAGTTACTCGGCGAAGAATGTGCCCTTGTCTCTGCTGTAGATTTTTATTTTATTTGTAAATTGTGCGTGCTGCATGCTACGGAATACTGAAAAGCCATACACCCTGGCTTGTTGGTTGACACATAGTATGTGTGATTACAGATTGTTTGAATAACAGTGGACTATTGAACTGCCATCCAGATGTGTGTGGAGTCAACTGTGGGAATGTCCACAAAGGAGGATTATCTTTCTTGTTGCTGGGGCCAAGGCCCCCAGAAAGTGGAAACATAAGCGTGGCAGCTACTCAAATAGAACAGTAGCTACAAATGGCTCTTCAGAAGCAAAATTAATCATTTTTTTAAATTATGCCTTGCAATTAAGACTGGGTTTGTTCTCTAAAAGTAAATCATGCAAAGAAAATGCCAAACAATAACCAAAAAATTGCAGCTTTGAATGCCCTTTGTGAATGCTTTCGTCATTTTGTGTTTTTAAATGTCTGGAAATTCAGAATATTTTAGATTCAAGATAAAACCTGAACCAGTGCAAGCCTCTTAGGCATCATCTTGTAGATTTGATCTGTGTTTCCTGCACTCTCTGCTATTTTCTGTACTGTTCAGGATACTGTAAGCATTGATTGGTTGGTGTTCACAAATACTGGCCAAAGACAAACAGTGCAAAATTCCTCCTGTGAACATTTTCTTTCTGTTTGTTTGTTTTTTGTTTTTTTTTTTTTGAGAGTGCAGTGGCACACTGCAACTTCCACCTCCTGGGTTCAAGCGAGTCTCCTGCCTCAGCCTCCCAAGTAGCTGGGACTATAGGCAGTTGGCACCATGCCTGGCTAATTTTTGAATTTTTTTAGTAGAAATAGGGTTTTATCATGTTGGCCAGGCTGGTCTTAAACTCCTGACCTCAAATGATCTGCCCACTTTGCCCTCCCAAAGTGCTGGGATTACAGGCATGAGCCACCATGCTCAGCCTTGAACATTTTCTTTGAAAGATATTGGAACCACAATGAAACACCACTTCCCACCTGCTAGAATGGCTAAAATAAAACAGACAATAACAAGTGTTGACAAGGATATGGAGAAATTGGAATGCTCATATGCTGCTGGTAAGAATATGAAATGGAGTCACCACTTTAGAAAACAGTTTGGCAATCCCTTAACATGGTAAATATGGAGTTTACCCTATGATCCAGCATTTCCATGACAAGGTGTCTGTATCCAAGACCAGTGAAAACCTATGTCCACATAAAAACTTATACATGAATATTTATAATAGTCAAAAAGCAGAAGCAACTTAAATGTCCACCAACTGATGAATGTATAAATAAAATGTGGTCTGTTGTTCAGCCATGAACAGGAATGAAGTACTAATCCAACACGGATAAACCTGAAAACATGCTCTGTAAAAGAAGTCAGACACAAGAGACCACATATCATATGAATCCATTGTATGAAATGTCTGGAGTAAGCAAATCTATTGAGACAAAAAGTAGATTATTAGTGGTCATGGAAAGCACTGGAGAGGGGAAATTAAGAGTAACTGTTAATGGGCCAGGTGCAGTGGCTCATGCCTCTAGTCCTAGTACTTTGGGAGGCTGAGGCAGACATATCACTTGAGGTCAGGAGTTCAAGACCAGCCTGGCCAACATGGTAGAATTCCTGTCCTACTAAAAATAGAAAAATTAGCTAAGTGTTGTGGCAGACACCTGTAATCCCAGCTACTCAGAAGGCTGAGTCAGGAGAATCACTTACTTGAGCCTGGGAGGTGGAGGTTTGCAGTGAGCCAGGATCACGCCACTGCGCTCTAGCCTGGGTGATACAGCAAGACTCCATTTCAAAAAAAAAAAAAAAGGGTGACTGTTAAAAGATATTGGGGTTTCCTTTGGAGTGATGAAAATCTTCTACAATCGATATTGATGATGATTGTACAACTCAGTGAACACACTAAAAATCTTTAAATTTTACACTTTAAATAAGTAACATGCATGGTATGTGAAGCATACCTCAATAAAACTGTTTAAAAATGAAGGCAAATGAAGAAATTTTCAGATAAAAAATTGCTTAAGGTATTTGAAGGTAGTTTTTAAAAAATTGTACCTATAATTAGGGTATCTTCGAAAATCACATATCTGAACTTTTTTTTAGCAGCGTAGAAAAAAAGGGGGAAATGGTTTTCAATTTAAGAGTTTATATCTTTTTTTTTTTCCTGGAATGAAAGATCTGTTACTTGTTCAACAGTGTCAGTGCTATCTCTGGTTGGAATCTACAGCAGTCAGTTGGTACCAAGCCATCAAATACCTAGATTTACCTTTGTGCAATAAAAATGCATATTGCTAAAAGGACTTTTAGTGCACAAAGGTAAATCTAGGTATAGATTCATATCATTTTGAACCTATTTTAAATTCTGCAGCAAGTGGGTAAAAAAAAAAATTAAGGCTGGGCGCGGTGGCTCAAGCCTGTAATCCCAGCACTTTGGGAGGCCGAGACGGGTGGATCACGAGGTCGAGAGATCAAGACCATCCTGGTCAACATGGTGAAACCCCATCTCTACTAAAAATACAAAAAATTAGCTGGGCATGGTGGTGCGTGCCTGTAATCCCAGCTACTCAGGAGGCTGAGGCAGGAGAATTGCCTGAACCCAGGAGGCGGAGGTTGCGGTGAGCCGAGATTGCGCCATTGCACTCCAGCCTGGGTAACAAGAGCGAAACTCCGTCTCAAAAAAAAAAAAAAAAAAAAAATTAAATTAAATCACAAAACGTCAGGCAAGTCAAAGGAAACAAAGAAACAAATAGGAAATTCTCTCTAGATTCTGTTCCCACTCTACTTTCTGTAGTTTGATCTAAAGAAAAATGTGGAATTTCCTGCAGGGTGATTAATAGGCTAGTGTGGTGACTGATTGGCACTCCAAGCTTGACCTTGCAGGTAAAGGCTAACTGGTACGTTAAGTTGATTACACAATTTCCTCTAAATAAGTTGACAAGTGGTTTGCACAGTTGCCTTGACTTTTGCCCTTATAAATGCACACTTTTAAATGAATTGCTTTTTCAGCTAAAGCAATCCTTATTTTAGATGTGACGTGTTAAGTAAACAGCTTGATACGGAACTCCAGCATCCTAGGCTTCCTGGCCAGGTCAGATTATCAGAGTTGCTAGGAAATTTGAGTTTTGAGCCTCAAACTCAGCCCTGAGATGTGGTTGTATCCCTAGGGCAAAAAAAAGCCAAAACTATTTTTCTTCCCTCTAGTATTGTGAAGCAGACTAGGGGACTTGAGAAGATGTATTTCACAAATGGCTCAAAATCCTCCAGGAGTAGAGGCTGCTACTAAATGGTTTGGTTAATTCTAGTTCTTTGTACAGAGCGCCTTTCAGGATGTCAAGTTTGTAGGAAAATGCAGCCTTTGGTTGGTATTTCTTCAAAAATAGGACAGAGAAAAGATTTCCAGTTGGCATCTCTGTTCTATGGTCATTTTCACAAGAAGAAAATGTCCATTTATAGTTCAGAGAATATGAGATATTTTGTTTTACAAATGTACTACTTCCTTCCATTTAAGGGGAGAGTTACAAAAAGCTCTGATAAATGAACAGGAAATACAGTTTCAGATAATAAATCAAAATGCTCTTTAGGAAAATAACTATTTATTTGTAGATTCATAAGCCACCTTTATGGAACCTAATATATCCTGATTTGATAAGCAAGAGGAGATTTGCTAATGTTGTTGATTTATCTGGGACCTATTGGTGTGTGTGTGTGTGTGTCTCTTTCTGAATGAGTTAAACATTTGGAAAATGAATTGATTTTTATTTGTATATACAAAGATAATACCATTTATGCTTTCCAGGTCTAGAATATGACAAGCCTTGAGTTCATCTGGAAAATAGAACATTATTAGGACTCAGAGGTTAAATGTACCCTCCCACCATCAAAGTCTGTGAATGCTCCCCTGCAACAATGTGCAGACCCATTATAAACCATCTCCATTCATGTTAACTCTTACAAAAGATGAAACTCGTCAGGCTTAAAATGTTTACTGCTTTCCAGAGATGACTCATGCAGTAATCTTTTTATTTATTTCATTATTTCACTCCGTCGTCTGGAGGTACTCATAACAAAAGGATTGCTTCCACCCTCTGGCTGGGGCTGGCTGTGTACTTGGTAAGGACAGGGCTTGTCCCTCCTGCCATGTGGCTTCTTTTTGCAAGTCATCAATACGAAGTAACCATTAACTATTAACAACATCCTTCACTCATTTCACTTCCTCCCCAGCTGCCCAGCGCCCTTTAGACATGTTCATGAGCCAGGGGGAGATATTTCATGCCCAGCCCTCTCTGCCTATGGAAGGTTGGAGTCTCCTGAGGTTTGGATTTAAACTCTGCATGGTAAACCCAAGTTTCAGTAACCTCCCACCCCAGTGCATCAGTCAGAGAAGTTTCTGCTGCCTCTCACTTTCCTCTCTCAAGAGAGAACACTCTTAAAAGGGAAAAGAAAAAATAGTATTTCGGTTATATACATTTTTATTCAAATATTTTAGAAATAAAAAATATAGGACATAATATAATGAACACCTTTCTTCCTGGTAAAAGCTTAAGAATTAATATTTTACAAATACAATGAAGCCCCTATTCAACCTCAGGTTTTCTTATGAGATCATTTCTGCAGCAGCTTGAAGAAATTCACATCAAATACCAACACCTTCCCTGTGAAAGGAAAGCGGGATGATATATTCATGGAGGAAGCATGGACTTTTCCTTTGTTGGTTTGCATTTTTAATATTCCACATATTTGAACCATAAGAAATTGCCAGTATTCAATTATTTTCTACTTACAGAAATGTCAGTTTTATATGGGTCAGCCTCATAGCAGAGAAACAAATGTCCCTTGCACATTACAGAAAAAACCTAAATCAAACTCACTTCTCCTCTTGTATAAGCTATTCGCTTAGCCTCAGAATTAGCTTCCCTGCCTTAATTCTCAACCCCTTCCATTTCAACCTCCACTCTCTTGCACAACCACATAGATAAATCTGATTAAAGTTAAATCTGGCTAAAAATTTAAAAATATTTTATTGCAGAAATATCAGTGATTGGTTAGGTGTGCCGCCTTCAGATTCTGCCAGAAGTGATATGGAACATATGGCATATGCTCATATTCCCCCCACCACACTTTCCTCCTCCTCCTTCCTCTTCTTCCTCTCTCTTCTTCTCTCTTCCTCTCTCTTCCTCTTCCTCCTCTTCTTCTTTTTTTTTTTTTTTTTTTTTGAGACAGGGTCTGTCGTTCATACTGGCACAATCATGGCTCACTGCAGCCTTGACCTCAGGCTCAAGTGATCTTCCCACCTCAGCCTCCCAAGTAGCTGGGACTACAGGCAGGCACCACCATGCCCGACTTATTTTTAAAATTTTTGTAGAAACAAGGTCTTGCTGAGTTGCCAGGGCTCATCTCAAACTCCTGTGTTTAAGCCATCCTCCTGCTGAGCCTCCCAAAATGCTGGGATTACAGGCATGGGTGAGCCAAAGCACCCGGCCCACTGTTGCACTTTCCATGTTGTCCCTTAACTGTGCATCAACGTTCCTCCCTGACGGAGCTCTTAACAAGCCAGCTACATTGCAGAGACAGCATGCTAAGCATCTTGTCTCATTTCATCCTCACAGCAAAAGGAGATATTCAGGGGTAGAACAGGTTTTGTGGGACCTGAAGCCTTTGTAGTTTGGGGTACGTACCCTCTGAAAGAAAGGTTAAACTCAAAGTTAGTTATGAAAGTTAATGATTGTTTAGGTCAACAAAAGAAAGTACAACACATTTTTAAAAGTAGGCACATACTACAGACACCATAAAATGTAGAGAAAAAGTAGTTGTATTAATTAACTGATTAACACACATTTACAGCACTTTTTTCCCTATGTGTTTTGACTGCATATTTTTGGCCATTTCTTCATATAATAATTATTTTATGACTTTTTAAATGGAGAGAACAGGAGGATGGTTAATTCTTCCTTTAGCATCATTGACCAGAACTTGTTTTTTTTTTTTTTTATTTATTATTGAAAGCTTTAGAAAAGCTTCTTAGGCTCCATGGTTCATTATTACTAATGTCATGGAAGTTTTTAAGATCGTTGTCAAATGAAAAGATCTCTCACCTTTTTGTCCGTATATGAGCCGTAGGATTTGGATTTTTTTTTTTTTTTCGGACTAGTTTCTGGCTCTAAACATTTTGTTTTTCTGCCATCCACGTACCTCCAGCATCGAGTGTTCTTGCTGTGGTTGCACCACAGTCAGACCTCTGAGCCTGCACCTTTATGTCCCAGTGCTACGTGAGTTGTCCATCTCCAGCTCAACACGGGTATCAGTGATTCAACCAAACATGGAAATGACTGTGAACATGTGATCGTACCTACTACATCCAGAGTAGATGATCCCTAACTCAGCTCCCCCTTAGCTGGATTCCAAAAGTGCTCACAGCCACACCAATACTGTCCAACATGAAAGGGAATCAGAGTAGAAAGTCAGTAGTCCTAACCATGCACTGCATTTACTATATCTTATTTTTACAGATTTTACAAAGATATTTGGCCAAATGAATGTATTGCTAAGACCTCTTTCAGGATCTTGGAAGGACCCCAAACAAGTGAGGGACTAACCCTGAAGCCCAAAATGAAGCTGAGAAGCCACATTCACATCCTAGGAGATTTGTGTAAGGTTACTCAGGTAGCAAGAAGCGAAGCTGGGATTTAAAGTCAGTCTTTAGAGGCCAATTTAGTAATCTTTTAAATTATGCTCTTTGCTGTCTTGTGTCACAAAAACCTCTCCTTTCCCTATCCCAGCTTAGTGCTCAGTAAGTACATAGCCACTGGTCAACGTTTGCTACAGAAAAAATTGGACATCTAAGTTTCAAAACAGATTTGCTATGTTCTCATTTATATTATGGCCAAATCCCTTGAAGACTCTGGAATTTCATGTCTATTTGAAATCAATTGTATCATGATATAGAATTTCAGATAACTCTGAACTACACAAAATTCACTGCCTCTACTTCACCCATGTTCTAGAAACCATGCTGCTCTTCATTCAGCTGTGAGTATTTCTCAGCATGCCCCAAGGACTGACAAATATAGCACAGTCCTTAGGTTTATCCTGGCGTCCGTAAGAGTCACAGTTCGGAAATGGTGTGGGGCACTCTTAATTAGAAGGGGGACAGCCAGCAGTGGCCCTGCTTTCAGTGCCCTGGCACCTACAGAAAGAAAGCCTTTCTATCTGATAAACCCTCTGGTGTCTGCAGCCCACCACTGTACACATGGGCGGAACTCGCTCTCACAGAACAAGTGTGTTTGCCAAAACAGGGAGTGAAGTATCTTACAAGGCCACTTGTTCCAGAAGAAAGACAGGATAAGGGAAGTGGCAGAAACAGTGATAGGGAAGGAGTTTTTCCACGCTAACAAGCGTGAACCGATAAGCCTGACCTTACAGACAAATGTTGAGGGTCCTCAGAACAACTCTCAGGCCAAAATTAACTGAGCAAATTTGACTTGGCTTCCCATATTATAATGGAAAAAATTCCTAGGGAGAAAGAAAACTCAACATTGGCTGCTATCATGGCTGATGGATTTGACTTCTTATCTGCTAGATTTTCCTACTAGTCAATGGAATCACTTTCTACTATGCCTGAACTAGAAGGTTTCATGATAAAAAATATATTAATAATATTATCATTCTTACAGTCCCTGGGCCAAGAATGTTTACATGGCTTATCCCATTTAATTCTCACAAGAACCCTCTGGGGCTATTTCAATTAACAGGCAAAGACAGTGAGGCTCAGAGAGATCCAGTCATTTACCCAGCCCAGCCACACAGCCACCAAGCAGTGGAGGCTGGATTTGAATGAGGGCAGTCAGACTCGGGGGACTGTGCATGTATCCGCCGTTACACAGCAAGGTCCATCTGAATCGTGTTCCCCTCTCCCTCCTCAGGACTCCACCAGGCCTCCAAATACTTCCCATAAAAGGGGAATGCCTTAAGACACTCTCTGAGTGTTACCCTGTGATATGTGTAAAGCACACAGGAGCTATTTTTATCATCTGCCACAAGTATTCTTATTAATATGCATTGTTTAATGACGGGGATATGTTCTGAGAAATGCATTGTTAGGCACGTTCATTGTGCAAACATCACAGAGTGGACTTACACAAACCTGGATGGTATCGTCTGCTACACGCCTAGGCTGTCGGGTATACTCAATTGCTACGAGGCCACACTCCTGCACAGCATTTTACTGTCCTGAGTACGGTAGGCAGTTATAACACAATGGTTAAGTATTTGTGTATGTAAACATAGAAAAGTTACAGTAAAAATACTGTACTATAGCCGGGCATGGTAGCTCACACCTGTAATCCTAGCACTCTGGGAGGCCAAAACGGGTGGATTGCCTGAGCTCAGAAGTTCGAGACCAGCCTGGGGAACATGGCAAAACCCCATCTCAACTAAAAATACAAAAAATTAGCCAGGTGTGGCAGTGTACGCCTGTAATCCCAGCTACCAGCTACAGGAGAATCGCTTGAATGCGGGAGGCAGAGGTTGTAGTGAGCTGAGATCACGCCATTGCACTCCAGCCTGGGTGACAGAGGGAGACTCCATCTCACAAAAAGAAAAGTATTATAACTACAGTTTCTGTTGTTGACTAAAACGTTATGCAGCCCGTGACTAGAATTGTCTTGTTTTGTTTTCTCTTGGGGTGCCTAGAATAAAGCATAAGAATATTGGTAAGGATGCAGGCAAATCTGTATCGGTCCCTGAAAGCTTTAATACATGCTTGATTCTTCACCCTTGTGTGGAGGCTGTGTTGTGTAGAAGGGAGCCCTCCAGGAGTATGGAGAGAGTGGCTTCTTCCTTCTGGCAAACTCAGAGGTCTGCACTGCCCCCTTGGGGGCTGGAATAGGGTTCTCCGTGTGTTTCCCAGTATGAAGCAATTCCCCTAGGAAGTTTTTGAAAAGTTTCCAGGGTGGCAGCCATACTCACATGGCCCACATGGAGGGTGCAGTGGCAATCCAACACCCAGACAGGGCCCTGAGCGAAACACCTCACCTGGGACTCCTAGACCAAAGCAGAGAGGAAGTGACGGATCAAGGTGATAAGAGGGAGCCTTAGGAGAATGCGTACTCCAACTCGTCATCTCATAGGTGGAGAAACTGAGGCCCAGGTAGAGGAAGTGACTTGCTACAGGTCTCAGCTAATTTCGGTGGAGCCAGCACTAGGATTCCTGATGGGATACCCCTTCCACCATAGGCTGCTGACATGCCCACCTTAGGGCAGCATCGCCCACCCAGACAGGTACCTCCCACGGCACAGCCTAAATACACAGTGATCGATTAGTCATACAGTGATCCAATTTGGGGTAGCATTTGAAAATTGTACTGAAAAAACAATAAGCAGAGAGGCTGTGCCCTTTTTGCTCGGTGTAGAACACTAAAAAAGCTATTTAAATTAACTCTATTTTATTCATACAGTTGGTGTCTCATCTATAATAACACATGTTGTCATATTACCTGAGCCAGTCAAGCCTTCTCCAGACTTCTATTCCATAGCAGAGATGCAGGGAAATTGCCCAGCAAGTCCTTTATGACTCATTCTGAAAGCTAAGGTGTGCCCTGGATAATTGTACACATGTACAAATCTCTCACACACAAATGACACCTGTTACTCTTTTTTTCTTTTCCATTGAGGCACCTTGTTTAAATATGCTTGTAAAGAGGTGGGAAAAATCAAATTATTGTTCATATCTAATCTATGCCATGAGAATATTTTTAGAAAACGTTTTGTCTTACATGCTTTAAGTATATTCTTATCCAAACCTTGGAGTTACAGATTTAGTTCATTCGAAGTATGAAAAGTCTACTGTATGACCTAATGAGTAAAGCCAATCTTCATGTCCAATAAAACAACCAGGTAGAATGATTGTTCTAACAGAACCAGTCTGGCTTCATTTTTTTTCTGTTTAAATAAATGTGTTCGTACATGAACCAAGGACAACAGCATCACTTCTGTTCCAATCCTAGGGTAGGTGGGAAACCAGCACAGTGACCTTAGGTGGACTTACGGAGTGTGGAGCTTTAAGCCTCTCTGTGAATTTGGCATATGGGGCAGAAGGCACTGCCACCATCAGTACTTCTTACTGACACTCTGCTTTGTCCTCACAAGACTTTTTCAGAAAAACCGCATTCTTTGAAAATGAGGTGGGGATAGGAAACATGAAATCATGGAGGAAGATTGTCAAAGGTTACCCCACCCTAGTCACAATACATCCCAATTCAGATCATCCCAGCAAGGGTGGAACACTGCTTCACCCTTGACAGGAGTACGTGTAGGATGGGGAGAGATTTGGAGCTATAGCTTGGATCTGTGGCCCTTGATGAAAGGAGTCGCCATTTACAGCATTCCTCCATACTGCCTGCCCCCAAGTAGCCTGTTCTGTCTACGTGTCCTGGCAGGTCACTGGGGTCTCTGCTAAAACACACACATGTTTTAACACACACATGTAAAAACCTCTATGGAGGATTTTACACTTCAGGCAGAGCTACTTAGTAAAGTGGGAGAAGACATTTAAGGAAAGAGAGAAAAGAACTGTAAACACCTGGATTGGTTTTAGCAAATAATACATCTAGGAGTTAGGGACTTGGAAATCAGTTCTCTTAAACTTAGCTATACTCTAGTTTGAAGACTTAAAGAAAAATCCTTGCAGATACTGATAAGAGGCCATGTACCCAGACAATTTTTGCAGCACTGGAGTAGCAGAAACTTAGAAGCAACATAAATGCTCATCAGTCAGCAAAAGGGTCAGTGCAGTAGCGTACTATATAGCTGTTAAATGAACCATACACACATATATGCACTTTGAACCTTACACTGAGTCAAAAGATAATTTTCAAACATGCTATATACAGAGTATCATGCATGTTTATAGATATGTAAATATGTAGTAAAAGTATAAAAACAGGGACAAGCTTCAGGTTAGTAGTTACCTACTACTAACCTGAGGTAGAGATGAATGGGGAGGAAGTGTCACCTGTATTTGTGACACATTATCTTTTCGAAAGAGCAGCTCAGCCTACCATTCTATTAAATCAATTTTGTATTTGGGGAAAAATAAAGAGGCTTTTTTTTTATTTTATTTTTGCTTTTTGAGGTGGGGTCTCACTCTGTCGCCTACACTGGAGTGTGGTGGCACAGTCATAGCCCACTGCAGCATCAAATTTCTGGGCTCAAAAACAATCCTCCCACCTCAGCCTCCCAAGTAGCTAGAAATAAAGATGTGCACCACCAAGCCTGACAAATTTTGTAATTTTCGTTTGGCTGGTGTTTGAGAGAGGAGGTCTCACTGTATTGCCCAGGCTGGTCTGGAGCTCCTGGACTCAAGGGATCCTTCCTCTCCAGCCTCCCAAAGTGCTAGGATTACGTGAGCCACCACATCTAGCCAAGACTGATTTTTAAATATGTATTTTATGCAACAGTCTAATGGCAGAAAGGGCTTTAGGGTTTCAACTTAGGCTTTTGTTGGAGAACAGAGTAACTGAGCTGCCTCTTACCTAGGATACTCCTACAGCCCAAGCTATGGGTTCAAGAGAATTCTGTCTTGGAAGGGTTGAGTCTGGTTAGACTGCTTTTCCCTAATACTCTGCAGAGTCATCCCTGATTTATTTTTTAATGAAATTTGACAAAATATGTTACACGAAGTCTCCTGTCAAATGGCCGTAATTTGTGCTTAGGAATGCATAATTTTATCAGGACCTCTGTAATTAGATATTGTGCAATAGAATGACAAGCAAATACTGTGTGTCCCATAGCAACCTCGGCCTTTAGTGCCTCACTATCTTTCAGATAACGAAGGTTTCCATAGACACACGTACCACATGAGAGTACCATGGGAAGAGAGCGAAAGTTTCCCTATTGGTTTTCCCCTATTTTTAAGAGTGAGTGTATGAACGTGTCTTTTGTTCTTTTCCTTTTATATTGTCTCCTGGATTTGGGTTGTTTTCCTTTATCTGTCTGGACTGTAAATGTGGATATGACGGTTCATAGTCCTATAGAATGAGGTCAGTGCTTGAGCTGATGTTTGGTGTGAACTACCTATCTTTTGTGGGGAGAGAAAAGAATTGCAACTGTAGTAAGATTTAAGAGAAAAGAATTAAGATCATGTAATGATTGAAGAAAGCTTTGCTGGGAATGTGTGTGTTTTAGCAGAGACCCCAGTGACCTGCCAGGACACATAGACAGAACAGGCTACTTGGGGGCAGGGAGTGGACCTCGGCCATTTCTGTGACCTCACATCTGGCATTGCCAGGCATATAGTAGGTGCTCAATCATTAACTCAATAATTAATCATGTAGAGGAAGACGGCAATGTTCAGTAATTAACTGGTTTTTTAAAAAAGCCTGCAAGCTGCACCTTTGCTTCTAGACCAGGAGCCAGCTGCCCACGTCTCATGGGGAAGCAATTAGGACATCATTTAAAATATCATCCATTTCTTCTAAAATTTATAGTTTCTTTGGAGGCAATTATAGTCGCTTTTGTAAATTGGGCCAATAAAGGGGATAAAATTGTCCATCTCTACTGAAATAAGGAAACAGAGCAAGAATCTAGGAGTTCTGGTACTATACTAGAGATTACATATTATAGAACAGTGCAAAAAGCAAGCCACATGAAAGGATGGATTTAATGTCACATCCTGCAGCATTGAGGAGTTGATCTCCAACTATTCTCATTGGCTACACAATCACATTGAGGTATTTAAATCCTGGCTGGTGGGAGCCTTTGCTTCCTTTGCTTCATGGTGAATTCACATGGTGGTGCAGTAGGCAGAGGTTGGACAGTATTCTCTAAGGGCTGCAACTTACCTAGTCCTATCCAGTTAGGTACCAGGGAAGTGATTACACATGTTCAGATATATCAGTTTAACAGTAATCAAAGAGTTCTTTTAATTGAGAACTCAAGGAAGTCAGATCTGTCTTCTCAAGCTGAGAAGAACTAAAGTCATGGTATAGACATAACCATACATAGGTAATAGAAAACTATAAGCTGAAAACAGGTATAGAAAAACCATGAGAAGATGCAGTTATGATAGGGTTGCAGGTGTTAATGACCAGTTCTTCCCCACTAAGAATTGAGTGGTGAGACCCAGAGTCAGGAGCTACCAGGACTGAATTCAGCCTGGCTCCAACCTTCTCTGTTGTCATACTGATCTCAGTCTTTCCTCTGATCCCCTTCTCTCTTTCCTGGTTTGTGCTATTCTGATTACATGATTGACTGAATAGTCTGAAGCAGAGCTGATACCTCTTTACTGGGGAGTCTCTCTCACCAGCCCCAGCTGCTGAAAGGGAACTTGCAAATTTCGTCCACTGTGTTTCCGTTGCCCAAACACTTTCTTACCTTTGTGCTATTTGAGAAATCTTTAAAATGCTGAAGGTATGATTCTCCCTCAGGGGGAATATGCTTTGGAAAAATGCCCACTTGAAAAAATGGATTTTCTTTCTGCTATGGCTGCTGGGGTTGTTACAGGCCCATTTGCTTTAGGTAGGTGAAGAATAGCTTCTAGACTAAATGTCTCCGGAAACAATGGATTGTTTTCTGTATTGAACTATCACACTACAGTGTTAGTGTTTTGGGAAGAAAGAATTCTGGTGCCTGGTTGGTGTTCTGCTATTTACCACCTTAAAATTCATCTCTTTGGGGTTACAGTGGCTTGGCAGTCTCTTGGGGTACAGTGTAGACTTCTTTTTGGTATTTCAGCTCACTTACGTGGACTCGTTTTTTTCCTAATGCCCTTTTTTTGTATGATAGAGGTCTATAATTTGTGGATGCCAAAGCTATGTTTTACAAATCAGTAATTAAGACATGAAGCCTGAAAAAGGTTTTTTTCCCCTGATTTGTATGTGTATCTTAATTAAAATTTATTATAAATTAGATTTAATCATACATTGGAAAAATTACCTTTTAAAAGGATCAGAGTTTATAAAATAGATACAGCCCTGAGGCAATGGTGTTAAATGAACATTCTACCTATAACGTATACAGAGGTACAATGTTATCAGCTGTTAGACTCAACAACTTATTATTGAAAAAAGAATCCTTTGCCAGGTTTATACACAGGAGAGAAACAGCCAGGGAACTTCACTCTTTTAAATATAATAGTAATAATAATACAACCTTTAGTCCCACAACCAGAAAGAACAGATGTCCCCAAGACACTTTTGTCAACTCTAGAAAGGGATTGTTTGTCTTTTATATTTTGATTTTTTTTTTCCCAAAATTGCTATCCTCAGAAAGGTAGAGAGTATCCAAATCCTAGAAAGAGTTTATTCTCCTTAAAAAGAGAGAATCTCCCCTCCAGGGTAATTGTTTGCTCTTGAGACAAAACCTGTAATTACTATTATCTAATAGTATATAGCATGGCATGCGCTATTTGCAAAGAATTTTTTTTGTCGTTGTTTTCACTGGCCACTCCGAGATACAATTTCGTGTTAAAAATTAGCTATTTTCTCCTGGTAAAAGAAAAGAGACTACGATCAAGCAAAAATAGACTTGTTTTCCCCAGACTTCTGTTTTGCCTACCTAGAGCTGAAGTCGCCAAGAGCAGAGTACAATTATTTTCTGTGAATATATTCATATGAAGAGTTTGATATTTCTTTCTCTCACGGTTGGGAAAGCCTCAATTTCAGCCTGTATCCATGACTTCAGGGGGCTTATAAAAGAAAGCCCCTTCTGGAAAGAAACTCTTTCGGTCAGAATGTATCAAGCCTCCAAGAGAATTTCCAAGCATCCTTTCCTCCATCGAGACTAGGACTATAAGAAGAACAGTATACACAGCATGGGTAGGAATTGTGGAGCCAGGAAGAGACCCAGCACATAAACATCTTACTGTGACTTGATGTAAGTGTGTAAGCTGGACCACCGGAGATAATAAAGCTGGCATTCTGTTCAGGACATCGCACTCTGCAAAAACAAGAAAACTTCGGGAAAATGTTAAGCACAAAGGAAGAATGTAGACATTCCTTAGGAGGGATGACCATGGAGAAAGGGACTGTTTACTTGTCAGGAAGTTGTGAAATCTCCTATGTAAAATGTAGTCATGTTTTTGTTATTACTTGATTTAACACTCCAGGAACTTAGCCCAAGCCAGCTGTGATCCTCAAGCTGCCCCGCTCATGAAAATCCCCCATTTTCGATTCAGACCCCCTCTGCCGTGACTGACTGTTGCCCAGCCTGCTGTCCCTCAACTGATTCTCTGCAGAATTCAGGAATGTGCCTGTTCAGTGCTCCCAGGAAGTTTCTTCTTAATAGCTTATTTTATATTCACAAAAGTAAAAGTTTATTGTAGAAATTTTGGAAAATTCTGCAAAGCGCAAAGAAAAAGTTCACGGCACAGTAATTCTCACCTGAAAACACAGTGTACTGTTAAAACTTTAATGATATAAAACTCTTATTATTTTTTGAGCATTCGAACTAATTCTGCAGATACCAAGAGCTGCAATAAATCACCAAACGTGGAGAGCTGAGGCTTTCAAACCTGATTCTTAAGGACAAAGGCCACATCGTCTCTGTCTCTATGTCCTGGCAGCTGGCCCAGCAGCCAGCAGGCAGCGGGGCACAGAGTGTTTGCAGCATCCACAAACCTGGGATTTCCAAGGAAAGGGAAGACAGCAATCTAGAACGAGTCTAGGAAAGAGGAAATGAATTAGAAGTTCTCTCAATGGAGACTATAAAATATATTTCTCAATGATGACCTTTTTCTGAAAATGTCAAAAATGTGTTCATAAGATGATTTGGGGGCTGGGGCTCAAAGAGAAGGTTTACAAGACTGTTCAGAAGATAAGTTTGCTTAGCTGAGTGCAGTGGCTCTTGCCTGTAATCCCAGCACTTTGAGAGGCTGAGGTGGGCAGATCACTTGAGGCCAAGAGTTCAAAACCAGCCTGGCCAACATGGCGAAACACTGTCTCTACTAAAAGTACAAAAATTAGTGGGGCATGGTGGCACACACCTGTAATCCTAGCTACCTCAGGAGGCTGAGGCACGAGAATCACTTGAACCCAGGAGGTGGAGGTTGTGATGAGCTGCCATTGTACCACTACACTCCAGCTTGGGTGACAGAGACTCTGTCTCAAAAAAAAAAAGAAGATAGGTTTGCTTCAAATTCTGTGACATAACTGCCACCCAGAGCAGAAAGATGCCTGCTTGGGAAAGCAGACCCCAGACCCCAGCAGATGCTGTTTGGGAAGAGGCCATTATCTGCCAGGGTCGGGGGCCACACTATCCACCTTTGGTACATGATTCCTGGTGGAGCGTAGGTTAATGAAGGATAATGGCAAGGAAGGAGTGCTTGTTATCCAGGTCCTTATAACTTACCAGGGTCTGCACGTGGACCAAATGTCTCTGAGCCGAGCAGCGCCCATAAACAGATTACGGAATAGCCATTCGTTAATCCCAAAACAGTTTTCTGTCAGTTAATTAGAAAATTCATCTTATTTTGCCTCCAGGCCCTGTAGCTTTATTGCATTTGCACATATTTCAAAATGTTTCAAGTACTGACCAGATAACATTAATGAATATATTAGATAGGCAAACGCTTTTAAACAAAAAATAATAAACATACTTGTGTCTATATATAAAAAAATGTTAATTTCGTCTGGAGCCAAACAGGTAATTTTCCCTTCAGCATTTCTTCAGTCAGCTAAGACAGGTTGGCCTAGGAGTGCAGTCAGCCTGTCTGCAGTCTCTGGCTTGAGTTGCATACCAGGGTCAGATTTTCTTCAGAAACAGACAGCAAGATGATCTGATTGGCCCAAGTCCAGAGCATGCTCACAAGGGCTTCTTTGATGAAAGGGTTCTTGGTAAGTACTGTACCAAAAGCAGCCTGCCACCCTCCTTTCAAAGATACCCATTTAGAGTAATTCCCAGAAAGGGAAAAAAGAGCGAGAAAAAGAGAGAGGGAGGGGAGGAGAGGGAGAAAGAGCTGAACTACCGGATCACCGCAAGAATAATTATGCTCCCTGGCATGGAGAAAGGGGTAAAAGTTATTACAAGTAAACTGCTGGATGTGGAACTAGCTGGTTGGCAACCCCACAAGCACATCAGGAATGTGCAATTAAGCTCATTAAAACATCATCATTATGCTTATCAATCTTTTTCCAAAAGGGGTGGGGCGGGGCAGTGTGTTACGGCATGACTGCTTTTGCAGATAAAGATCCTGGGCTACCTAGTTGCCTCTCTTAGTGGACAAAATCAGCCATTCAGTTCCATGCAGCATTTGCACTTAGGCAGGCTGGCTCCGACTAACACTGGAATCCTGCCTGCACTCTGGGGGAGGCATCCAGGAGGCTGGCTCCTCTCAGCGGGCATGTTTCCTTCTGCCGTGATCTCCATTGGA